AATTTTTTGTCAATTTTTATGATGGGCGCCTTTTTGTTCATGAAGTGATACATCCTAACATGATACGTTACAGTGGAATAGCTAGGAGCATCCATACCGAAGCATTTTACCAATGTCTCGTAGATTTTTTACAGTCTTTGCATTTTTTTGCAAGAGCGAGGATGTTTTCTTTATGATTCATTAAAAAAATGAAAAAAATCCCGCCAAAATTTCCCGCGAAACCGCCTCTTGTCTCAAAATTCATTTTATATCCCGGCATGGCGCCAAAATACAACATACTTATCATATACATATATTCATATTTTTTATTATATATTTATAATCAGCATATATCTCCTTTAATAGTCTCATATATAATGCTATAAATGAGTATATAAATTCTAAGTTTAAAGACCCAAATGAGGAAATGCAGAGAATATTAGAGAAGAAACACTTCAGAAACAAACAGAAAGAGATAGAATACATTTCGAAGAAATTGCAATCTTACGATTGGAAGACTTACCCTCACAGATGTCTTCTTATCTTAGATGACTTTGCTTCTCATCCTTTGTTAAAGAATAGAGAACAAGACATGTGTCGAATTCTCAAGAAGCTCAGACACTTTAACATTTCAGTCGTAATATGTGTACAGACAGCGAAGAGTTTAAGGAAGGATGTAAAGAGAATACTTACTGACATAATACTTTTTCCCGGATTGTCCGAAGACGATTTCATGGAACTTATGAAAGAGTCCATGGCAGGTAAGTTTGACAGACATGAACTATGGGAGAAGTATAAAGTCATACAAGACCCTCATACTTCTTTCAGAATTCATATCTACGCGAACAAAGTTCAAATTGTAAAAAGTCAAGCTTGAAAAATGTAAGTGTTTAGTCTTAGTAAGATGGTAACTTCTTAAAGCAAATACCATTGCTGAGTTTTATGTACGTGAAGAGAAGTACAATGAATTCAATTACGAGTACAATTGCAATGACAACTAAGGCAACTATTTTTGTCTTTTGCCAGCAAGGGTACTTCTTCTCTTCCAATGGTTCGGCAGAACTATACTCACTCATGAGAAATGCCCAAACGGTTTAATAGAAAAAGTGACATTTTTTAATGTCCGAAGACTCGAAGGTGCAACACTTCCAAAATACCGACGAACTCAGAAGAGCAGCATGGCAGTATGTTCTTGACAACTTCTTTGAGTTCTCCAGGTACACCTTGGAAAATGCTGAAGAACTCCGACACAGAGAATTTGGAGAAATTGCATTCCAATACTACCTTGACAAACAAAGGGTAAAATAAGACTAAAAACTTAACGTTTAAAAAGTGACATTTTTAATGAGCTCCGAGTCACCGAGAAAACTTGGTCAGATGTTAGCAGCTTACTTCCCTGAGGAGGATGGAAGCGTTACATACATAAGGTTCAAAAACAACGAACCTGGAATTGCGTACCAAATTCGCAATTACATGACCATGGAAGAGTACGAAAGGTTCCTACAAGAGAAACCAGCTCTAAACAACTCAGAAAAGAAAGAGTAAAAAGTTTAATTCGTAATTGTTTATTTTTTTACTTGTATGGGCAAGCTGCAAGAATGAAGTCGACTATCTCAGTCTTTGTCTTGACCAGTTGGACTGCTCTTGTAAGCACGTCTGTTTTGCGGTCTCCAGCTGGTGTTTGACCTTCGTAATTGCGCATGTTCTTGAGAGCTCCAACTGTAAATGGTTGTAGGATGAAGAGTCTCTCAGACTGCTTGAGGTAGTCGTCACGGTCACGAACCGAATCTGTGGTACGAGTCGAATTGGTCGACCTTAGGGAAGAGACTGAAAGCCTGTCATCTTCCATAGGGGCTGTGACATAATCTTTGCGTAAACGGTTCAGACCTTCTTCGAACTCTTGGTCTCTCTTCGATTGGGATTGAGATTGGAATTGCTGGGGTGGAGCTTGCTGGAACAACCAAGGATTAGGAAAGTAAGGCATAGGTTGAGGAGGGTAGTTCGGGAAGCCTTGTGGTGGGTAGTAACCTTGAGGTGGAAATTGGTAGTAATTGGGAAGTGGCTGCTGGAACTGAGGTTGTTGTGGTTGCTGCTGGAGTTCTGCAGCTTTCGGTTCTTCTGGCTTTGGAAGGCATTCAGGAAGAGGAACGTCAGTCATCCGTTTGTGTCCTGTCGGAAGGAAAAATTTTTCCTGTCGGATGGAAAAACTTTTTCTGTCGGAAGGAAAAATTTTTCTGAAGTTCGACCAAAAAGTTCTCAATTTTCGAAAATTTGAATGGTTTACGGACGGACAACTGGAAGAGTTCTTCCTGTCGTCGGGAAAAATTTTTCCCTTTGTCCGGAAAATTTTTTCCAGTTGTCGGGAAAATATTTTCCTGTCGGATGGAAGGACTCGGAATGCCAGAAGGATTTGACGAGGCAATTTACCTCATTGAACTTAACGACTGCGTAAAAGACTACTTGCGCAAGGTAATGAAGCCCAAGGTCAAGTTCACCACTATTTCTGGAAGGTCTACACTTCAGCTCGAGACTTCGACTGGAATTCCAATTCAAATACCAGACGGGACAGCCTACGATGGCATAAAGGACGCCAAAAGAGAAGCTCTTGTTAAGTTCCTAAACAAACGTCCTTGGATAAAAATACCAAACAAGGAGAACCCCCTACCCCATATGAAATTGGCAATTCAGTCTCTCCTTCACTTCTCAGGACAGCCGTTCTACATAACCTGTGAAGGCGACATTCAGCCAGTTCAGTAAACATCTCATTTTAACTCACTTTTTTTATGTTTTTACTCACACTCGTACTCAACAGGTTTGTGTACAACTATTTCAACTGTGAACCTTGTATTGACCGGCCTTCCTGCAAATGCAAGTTCGGTCAATACACAATTTATGGTGGCAAGAAGGACAGTGGGGAATGTTATTCTGACATCTGTTGTTGCGCTCGAGAGAGAATTGAAATTCCAGACCCGACACCAACAAAAACTCTCAAGTTGCCGAAGACTCATGTGAAGAAGAAGCCTTCTGGTAAGTTTCTTATAGCCATATACATGGCACGCTTTGAGTAAAAACATTTTTTTCATTTTTTGAATGAAGCAAGTTAAATTCGTCCCACACCAATCTCAATGGACCGATGAAGAGTTTCAAGCTATGGTTGAAGGTGTTGAGAACGACATAGACGGCGAACTTGAAGGAGCTCAAACCACAATTGCAACCAAAATTGCAGAAGTCAAGGAACAGATAGCTCCACTTAAAGCTACCAAAGCTACTCTTGACCTCATGGATAGTTACCGTTTAGATGTCAAGAGAGGAATAAGACAATTAAAATTAAAACTCTTAAATTACGAAGCTATACTCCAAAAGTTAGCAGAAATGAGAAGACTTTACCAGAGCTACTTACATGTAAGGGACTTACCTTCAAGCAGTCCGACCAAAGATGAATTTTCTGACATTGTCCCAATTTTGTCCGAAAGTCAGCTCAGATGTTTTGAACTGCTCCCAACATATCCAGAATATGAACGTTTGCCTGAACTCTTCCGCAATCTCAAAAAACGTTTTTTGGTTCTCATGTTCGAAACTTTTATCGGAAGAGACAACAAACGTTCAGAAGAAGAACAAGATATTATTTTAAACTTGTTGTATGACTTAACCGTCATAACAAGCTTTTTGAAGTAAAACCGTCATTCTCAAACCACTTCATTTTTTCGATGTCCGAACAAGCACCGAAGCCAAACTCAATGGAAGATGTCGCTGCATGGTTGCCAGACAAGCGCCCACTTCAACTTCAAATTATGGATTTGAAAGCTCATCTGGCAAACACCATTAAGACTCTCCAAAGTAGTCTTATGACAGAGATGAAGGGACTTAAAGGTGAGTTCCTCATGAACCAAGCTTCCAATGAAAAAGTCCTGAATGATTTCGCGGAAACCTTGCGCAATTACGACACAGAGAACCGAAACCTTGCCCGACTCATCTACCGTTTCTTCGAAGAGATTGACACCATCTGGGTGGCACTCGGAAAGGACAGAACATGCAACACCGTAATTCGTGAACACAGAATTGCCGAAGGTATTATCAAAGTAGAAGAAGAAGAAGAGGAAGAAGAGAAACACGAAGAAGAAGAGGAAGAAGAAGTTCCTGAAGCCGCTACATGGGCAACCCTTGTTGCCGATGACGCTTACGAAATTTCCCAACCCTACCCATACAAAATCCGCAACAGGGAGACCGGCAAGGTTCTTACCCCAGTTCTCAACAACTTGGGACACTTGAACCTTAACCTTCGGAATCGCGGTTCAATTTCCATGGGCAAGCTTGTCGCAATTCAATGGGTTCCAAATCCAGACAAGAAGACGAAGGTCAGACACATTGACGGTGACAAGCTCAACAACCGTAAGGAGAACCTCGAGTGGTTCTAAGAGTAAAAAAATTATTTTAGGGGGAAACCCCAAGTAAATTTAAGTGTTTAGTTGGATAAGTAGGCACTATTAATGGTAATTTGGAAAATTAGCTCCCGACCTTTGAATTGGGCTCTTTCGTTATCTTCCCAGTTGCGTAGGAGGTCGTCCCAGAGGAGTTGGTAGAATTGCCAATTCAAGGACGATTTGTCCTCCCAGGCATTGAGGATGTACTGCTCGTAGAGTCTCATGACCTCTGCCTTGCACCAGACACTCTCTCCCTTGGAACGTAAGGCTTCTTCGAAGTGCTCGAATGCGATTGGCTGCTTGACCATCCGAAATGACACTTTTTGTCCGTTTGGTCAATGTTCGTGTCTCGTGCCATAGTCGACGAAAATACAGACAAACAGGTTATATATGAGTTTGAGACCAAGAATGGTGTAACTCGACCTGTCCGATTCAAAGACTCCGAGGGCGACCATGAAATTAAACGGAAATTAGCTAGGAAGGAATATAAAATGGACTGGTTGCCACCACCTCCACCACCTTTACCTGTTCCTCAAGTAAATAAGCCTTTCCCGTTCCCAAGAATTCCCACATTTAAATTCAAATTCGAATAAAATTTTTTTATTTCATGCAATGTTTTATTTCTGTGCCGTCTTCAAGTATACCCCAGTACTTACGCTTGGAGAGGACATGAACTTCGGTGAAAATTTTGTCCAATTTGAATCGACCCATCTTTTCACCGACCATACCCATTTCAATGAGTTTGTTGTATCCTTCTTCGTTCGTCATGAGTGCGTCAATGTTCTCATAGTAAACCTTGACTTTCGATTTGACTTCGGAGAAGAATTTGTTGTACTCGTCAAGGACTGCTTTTGCGAACTGAGGGTAAGACCAATGTTCGACAATAGGTTTTAATGTGGTTACTAAGCCACTTTGACCTTGAGTGAATTCGTACTTCAAAACAAAAGGAGAAAACCTTTCAACAAAGTTGTCGACCTTCTCATAATGTTTACTCTTCATCTCTTGAGGTTTCTTAATGGAATATCCCCATGTCGAATTCATAAGCAATTTGAGTGTCATTGCAAGTTTGGGGTTTGAAGCTTTCCTAATATCATACAGTTGTTGTATGACTTTTCCAACTGTATAGTTCCTTCCCGGGAATTCACCATCTTCGTTTGGAATTCCAGTCGGAATATATTGGACAAACCTCATGTACGCAGCGTTAAGGTCGACATAGTATATCTTTTCGTTTGAGTCGAACTTGTCGCAACCAACTGGTCCAGTTTGTGGAAATTCAAGTGAGTCTCTTATCTTCTGAGAAACTTCTCCTGTTATCTCATAAACATCGTCGAAGCAACCTGTTTCATATAAAACCTTCTGACCTAACTCAGATGCTCTCCAATACAATTTGACGTCAATTGGATGTCTCAATGGAAGTTTGTTTATAGCATCTTGAAGTTCTTGCAACCTCATTGGAAGTTCTTCTGGTTCAGGTTGGTATCCGAACATACCAACCCCTTGTGGAACTGTGTACTTCTTTTGTACTAGAACTTTGTCTGGAACAACTTTTGGTCTTGCTAACAATGAAAAGTTTGTTTACAGCTCTGACAATGTTGCACTTGTCTTTTCCGAACAATGGGTTTGTAAGACTTTCGTTCAACATGAAGTGGTTGTGGACAATTACAATCTTCAACCATGGTAAGTCTTTGTCAACAACATAGTCGTCATGTGAAGAACCTTTAGCTGTAGGTATGTTGACTCGGATATTGACATTTGCCAACGGTGCAATTTTTGCCAATTGACCTCTGAGAATGTACCTTGTCTTCACACATGACTCAAAATACTTCATCTTCTCATCTGTAACAAGACCAGAGTTCCTGAGACATGTAAGAATGCAAGGTTCGTTGACAATTGTTTCAATTGAATTGTAAATTCCATACCTTGTCAAGTCAATGTCAGACTTATTTATGAACGGGAAGTATCCAGCATGTTGTCTGACTGCTTGAGGGTTAGGTTGGTACCATTCGAACTTGACACTTGCAATTCCTTCAATTGCATTCAAAATGTCTGAGTCGGAGTCAACCATTTGTTCTCTCTTTGTAGTCTTGAAAGCGTCAAGGTTTTGCGGCTGTTTGTTCATTGCCATGTGCATAGTAAATGTGACCATCCAAATCTGTTATGGTCAATCTGAGATTGTGTCCTTTCTTATTTCCGTCTTGAATTACAGCAAGTACACCCATGAAGCCTTCTTTGTTCTTTCCTTCGTCAAAGTTTACTGTAAAGGTTCGACCAGATGTAATTTGACTTCTAACTTCACGATACTTTTCATATGCATATCTTGTTCTTTCCATGGGAGCATGTGCGTCTTCACCTTTTCCTTTTTTCCTTCTCAAAGGATGCAATTGTTCGTCATGTTTCCAGTAGAATCTGGCAAAGCCGTCGTGTCCTTCAACTTGAGGTTCACTAACATCGAAAGGCATGTCCATAAGACGTTCTTCTTCTAACCTCTCTAGTCTGTTTGGATAATTTGCACGTGCTGTTTCCAAATCCATTTCGTAGCGAAGACCAGACAATTTGTCATAGACTTTTATGGGTCTTCCCTTCCTATATTTAAAATTCTTCGAAACTCTCCAACCATATCTTTGTAACTCTGCTTTTATTCTAGCAGATTTTCTATCCATTCTATATGGGGGCATTTTTATAAAAATAAAAAAAATATGTTTTTTTTTCTTTACTTTACATAACCGCCTGCTGCCATAAGTCTTTGACGCCAACCCATACCAGCTAATGAAGGTTGACTTGGTTTAGTTTCCAAACTAAACTTTGGTTTTGGTTTATCTTCAGTTTTTGGTTTTTCTTCTTCTATCGGTTTTTCGTCACTTTTCGGTTCCTCTGACTTTACTTCACTTGCAGGAACAGTTGTGTCGTCAACATCTTCATAAATATCATATGCCATTTGTTTTTGTTTTCCTTTCAACTTTTTGTGTTTGTTGTAAAGTTTAGAATATTTCGACTCTAAGTCAATGAGATGTTCTATAATGAACTGTTGGTCAGTGAAGTAAACTTTTCCATCTGTTGTCTCGAAAGCTCCTTCAGACTTCAATATTTTATTTGTGAGAGTCTGTTTCTTTTTTGAGATACTAGCCGTTCCATTTCTATGAAAAGTGACTTTATAGTTAGGGTTTGTATTTCCAGACCTGGCACTTTCTATTATTGAATTTTTCTCTTCATCTGTAAGTTCTTTGACAGGTTTTGACAATGGTTCTGAACTTTTTGTTTGTGGTGTCAAATCTACGGTTTCAACTTCTTCAGTCATTTCATCTCAGTAAAAAATTTTAGTTTGGTTTGTTTTCAACTGGTTGTTGTTGTGGAGGTGGGATGGTTCCTTTAATAATATCATTCAGTTTCACATGCTGAGCCTGACTATATGGTATCGGTTTAAATGCTGGAAGCCGACAAATCCATCTTGAACTCATTTGTCTCAATGCTGCATTGTTCATTTCATCTCAATAAAAAACTTTACATTCCCCAAGTTTGAGGTGGTTGCGGTTGGTTATTGCTTACCCATTGTTGTGCATGGTTATATCCTCTGTTAAAGAATCTTTCACCTTGGTCCATATAGTGTCCTGCTTGGTTATAGTAGTCATTTGCTTTGTTATAATAGTTTCCTGCTTGTCTTCCTACATTGTCCATCCATCCTTGAACTTTTCCTCTTGTTTCAGGATTTGGAATAAGATTTGTTGCATCTCGTGCTACATCCCAACCTTTCTGTACAGTTTGTATAATAGGTTGTGCTTTCTCTTTAAGTATACCTAATGTACTCAAAATCTTCCTTCCAATTCCAAATGCACCTCTAGCTATTGTTCCCACTGCGGGTAAAAATCTGGATGCAACTCCTGCTAATGCGCCAAATAAACCCATTTCTTATGGGTTAAAAAATGACGAATCCAAACAAGGACCCGTATGTTTCTAAGGCAACAAAGAAAGCACTCATGATAAAAATCTTTAGTTCAACACCAAATGCTTGGTTTGTGGATATCTTGGAAAACATTCCGAGGTATAGAGAAGATGGACCACCATACTGGTTAATATTTGTTGGTCAAAACACAAGATACTGTGAAGCCATACCATTATGGTCCAAAAATATTTTAGATGTGAAAACTGCTTTGACAATATTCGTTGACAAATACCATCCAACAAAACTGACATCTGACTGTGAAAGTTCTTTCAAATCAGATGATGTAAAAAACTATCTGCGTTCAAAAAATGTAAACCAATATTTCATTGTCGACCAAAACCATTCTGCTCTTGGTGTCATTGACGGATGTATAAAAATGTTAAGAGACTTAAACCAACCACAAGGTGGTGAAGCAAATGAAATGTCATATGACGACAAGTATAGACACTTCTCCCAGGCAAAGATGAGACAAGTTTTAAATATTTACAATAACCGTAAACAAAAAGGTTTGGGAAACCACTCCCCCGAAGAAATGAAAAACAACCCTGACTTAGAGAAAGACTATATATTTAATAATTTAGTCAAAAGAGACAAACAAGAAAGAATGCCGGGCTTCAAACTTCAGAAAGGTGACAAAGTAAAAATAGAAATACCTAAACGCGACCCATATGAAAATACTATTGACTATGACAACAATGGGAACCCGACAGGTACTCACATTCGTGTTCGTAAAAATAGAAGAAAGTATACAAGAGAATATTATGAAGTTTTAGGCAAACATGGCAAAATGTACACACTGCAAGCAGAAGATAAAACTACTATTGTCAGACCTCGTTTCAAACTTGTCAAAGTTCAAGGTGGTATACTTTCAAAGACAGTTCCTAACAAATATAAGACAACTCCTGACGAATATGCTAAAGAAGTTGAAAATGACGACTAAGCATTTCTATACCATGCGTAAACTGTCATGTAAGGTGGCATGTAGTCTTTACTTTGTCCCGTTGTTTGTGTATATCCTGAAACGAAATGTATATGGTTTCCATCTCCCTGAGTGTCACTCCAGTAACTATTTATAGCAAACTTAACGTCGTCTTTAACATCATATCCTTTACCTTTTGTCATTCCTGACCAACCTACATATCTATGACTATGCCAACCTGCATTAGTTGTACTTAAATCTATGTAATGACTGTGTGCAGGTAAATTTGCACCTGAAATCGTTTTACTTCCGAGTAGGTGACAAAAGTGCATACTCTTAAATTAACCTTAAATGTTGATTTTTCGATATTTTCGGTATTAACCTTATTGTAAATTTTTCCGGTGATAAATTTATCACACTGAGGTTATTTTTCCGGTGAGATTTTTAACCTTGATTTAATGAAATTAATATATATAAATTTTATTATTTTTAATTTCGATGAGTATAATAAAATATTTTTTATGTGTTTTTGTTTTTGATGTGATTTGAATTTTGTTAACTCTTTTCAAAATCACTTCATTTTTATGATTTCGGTGGACTTAGAGGAGCTTATTGCTTTTGGTATTAAACAGGAAGTCAAGGGCGGTGTCCCATACAGAAGAAGAACGGGATCTCCAAAGCAATATGTCACTTATTCATGTTCGTATCCCCTATGCAAGGCAAAATTTAGGGTGGAAGAACAAAATGGAGTGTTTACTATAAGCAAAGTTAATGAAGAACATTGCCATCATATAGGAGTTGAAATGGGTTCACATTACGCGAGTAAATTTTATCAAAAATGGATCGAACTTTATATTAAAAACGGTGGAAAGCAATTTCTTGCTCAAAAAGCATTTTTTGATAAGTTCGGAATTGATACGAATAACAAAGAAACGATGAAACTTTTCGCGCAGTCTACTGATGCTTTAAAGCACAAATTTTATCGCCTTGATGAGATTATTGCACAAAGATTATCAAACGATCCTTACACTTCTTTGGAAGCATTTTTGAATAATTTACAGGAAGAGTGCCCAGATGATCTCGTTCAATTTGATTACAATGGAGATTTTTCCGAGTTTACAATCATATATGCACCTTTTGCTGCAAAAGAATTGGTGCATAGCATTGATAACCCTCTCCACGTCGATTCCACTCATTCTTTAATTAAAGGAAAGATCCAATTGTTTGCAGTAACAATGAAAACAAGTCAAAACACAATTTTCCCCTTTTGCTATTTTTAGTGAACCCTCAGACATCTGAAAAAATTCAAGAATGTTTGGTGAAATTCTGTGAGTTTGCGCACCTGGATCCACAGCATTGGAGCGCTGACTGTGCGCTAAACATTGCTCGCGCAATTGAGGACGGATTTCCTCTTGCGCAGCTCAGTTGGTGCGCTGTGCATGTTTTACGCGCATGTGCAAAAGTTGGAAGCTATTTTGACAATCCACAGAATTTTGAGAACTTCTATTTAGCAATGGACTTTTTGACATTACGTGCAGATGCAACGAATGCAGAAAAGCTGGCTGAAGAGTCTGATGAAACATATGAGTTCTTGACAACAATGTTAGAAGAAGAAGAACCGCGCGCTTTGAAGTATTTCGATAAACAATGGAGAAGAACCAAAGAACATTGGATGATGTTATATCGTGGAGAAGGTGATTCCACGAATAACATTGCGGAATCACACTTTCATCAATTAAAGCAAACATTTTTCTTGGGTAAGAAAAATGAGCGCATTGATGACATCGTCATAACTCTCATCACTGTTGTGATTCCAAATGCGATTATTAAGGTTCAAGTCGCTAATGTTTTGAATGAAGAAAGAGCAGTAAGAATTCTTACAAGGGCAGGTAATCAGATTGTTGAGCAAAGAGCTTCAAAACACGATGAATGTTTGAAATTAATTCAACACATTTTGGAAATTGTCGAAAGCCGAAGGATTGAACCTAATGTCCTTATTCCATCTTTGAAGGCAATATTAAATTTGGCACAAAGAAGTTTAAAGGAAGAGTAAGCAAGATTAGATAATTTGGACTTTTTTTAAAATTAATGAATAAACAGTATATTTTTGAAGTGTAAGCTTATTTACCTGAAGCTATATTACTTAATATAACATTCAAAGTATTATTGCTATTTATTGGAGAACAAATTTATGTAATTTTCACATGAAAATTGATAAATTTGTATTTCCTTATGATAATCAATTTTTGTATTTGTAGAGAGTCTCCCTGCATGATATCAAGACTTGGCTATAAGTCTTTATCCATTTTTGAAAATTGTATTGTAAATTGTAAGAATTTCTGAATACTACTACTATAAAATATAATTGCTTATCTATGTATATTCTCCCTGCATGATATCAAGACTTGGCTATAAGTCTTTATCCATTTTTGAAAATTGTATTGTAAATTGTAAGAATTTCTGAATACTACTACTATAAAATATAATTGCTTATCTATGTATATTCTCCCTGCATGATATCAAGACTTGGCTATTAGTCTTTATCCATTTTTGAAAATTGTATTGTAAATTGTAAGAATTTCTGAATACTACTACTATAAAATATAATTGCTTATCTATGTATATTCTCCCTGCATGATATCAAGACTTGGCTATTAGTCTTTATCCATTTTTGAAAATTGTATTGTAAATTGTAAGAATTTCTGAATACTACTACTATAAAATATAATTGCTTATCTATGTATATTCTCCCTGCATGATATCAAGACTTGGCTATAAGTCTCTATTCATTATGAGTATGACCCCATTTTTTTTACAAAAAGTGCCGAATTGCAACTTTGTCCCAATCTCTTTTACTTCCACCTGTTTCCTTTGAAGAGTTTGCACAATACAAAAACCTGTCGACTATTTGAGTCCAAGTTCCAAAACCAAGTACTACTTCTGGTCTGGTAGAGTTCATTGAAACATATAATGAGCCAACCGGGTAAATAAGTTTCGGCAAAATTTGTTTAAGCACATTGAGTTCCTGTCTTAGATGCATAATACTATTGTCATTAGATATCAAAGTATCTACAAGACTTGTTGCCGGTGGTATTGTTGGACCTTTACTTGGCAAGGTTGTGTTTAGTGTAATATCATCTGCTGTAAAAGTTGTAAAACTTGTATGTGTATGAGTCTTATTTGCTTTAGTGTTTAAGGTTTCTTGTAAGTTTGTAATATCAGATATAGAATGTGTATGAGTCTTATTTGCTTTAGTGTTTAAGGTTTCTTGTAAGTTTGTAATATTTGCAATGGTATGTGTATGTCCAACGTCACTTTTCCTGTTTAAGGTTTCTTGTAAGTTTGTAATATTTGCAATGGTATGTGTATGAGTCTTATTTGCTTTTGTCTCTAATGTTTCTTGTAAGTTTGTAATATCAGATATAGAATGTGTATGAGTCTTTTTAGAATATTCGTTTTCAGCTCTTGTCACTTCACTTGACATTTTATTGTCAACATATGTTTTGTCTGCTAGTTCAGGATGAGTATGTTCTTTTGTTGCATAAGCATTGTTAGCTCTTTCTTCTTCTTTTGCTATTGCATCGTCTACATATTCTTTGTCAGCTTTGTTGTCAACATCTGCTTTCAAAAGAAGTTCATTTATAGGTTTCTCGTTTAAAGTTCCTTTTGTTGGATTTATACAGACAGTATTGTTCTTCTTGTCTTGAAATAGAAACTCATCTGTTAAAGGGTTTAATGTCAGTTTTAAGTTTCCTTCTTTCAATGACTCAGATATCTTAGAATAGTTTGAAAAGTTTGTTGTGTTCTTATTTAGAGCTTGCATAATGAGTTGTCGGTTGTGTTGTATTTCTCTTATGGAAGCAATATCTTTCGACATTTTTATTCTAGATAAAATATGCTTCCAATAGAAAAAGAAAATTCTAGAGTTGCTACAACTAAACCATTAGATGAACTTTTTACTAATGTAGGTCAAAAGTTTGAGACAGAGACCGTAAAGCATGAAGGCTATCGTTTTGACTACCCATTAAGATGGTTAAGAGACCCATCCGTCACAAAAGCTATTGGCTTTCATAGAATGAAGTTCATTTCAGAAGCCATACATGGTTTCCCATTTACGGTCGGTTTTGAAGTTCGATACTATAACAAAGAAAAACGTATGTATGAGAAATTTGAACAGGGAAAACTTTTACAAGTTAGTTTGCTTATAAACTTAGAAACAACTCTTCAAGCTTTTCAAGAAAAAATAAACGATATCTATATTGAATATGCAAACCAGTTTAACATTGACGAAGGAGAATACCATCTCGATATTATTTATGACAGGAAAAATGCAACTGTTAAAATCAATAAAATAGAAGACCTTGGAGAAAACGTTTATATTTCTACAAAATATAACAACTTGGCATGGTATAGATTTATGAGGATGTTAAATCAGCCTGCAGAATATCCAGTACACCCGGACTATTATGAAGTCGAAAACCCTAATGGAACATATGAAAATATTTTCGACCCAGATGCTATTATTGCTCATGCTTCATTTTCTGGTGCGCAAAACTCTTTCTTATGTCTGATGAATGACTTTTACGAAAAACCTACAAAGTTATATGAACCGCCGAGTGGAAGTATTTCAGACTTTCAAGTATGGTTTACTACAGATGGAAGAAAAAGAATAATTCCATTATACCATGCGTTTTACTTAGAACTTAGTTTCATATACAACTACTATCGAACGGTAAAAATATAATTTTTTAATACGGTTGAGGTGTTGGATTTGGTTGCCAACTTGACTGTGGTGCAGGTTCAGGCTGTTGTATAACAGGAGCTTGTTCTTCTGGTTCAGGGTCTTTAGGTATAATACCAACAAACTGACCTACTCTTTTACCAATATTTTTGACTCCGTTCCAAATTCCTTTTCCTACGGTTTTGACGCCATTCCATATACCTCTTCCAACTCTTCTGAAGAAGTTTCCAATACTACTGAAGAAACCCATTTTACTAGTAGTAAAAATCTAATGTCCACCTAGTCTTTTGCGTTTCCTGTTGAGTTCCATAGCATTCTTTAACTGGAGCTCATACATTCTGTTTCTCCTCTGGTAGAAAACATATTCTGGGTCAACTCCTGTGTTCGCGTCATCTGCATAAAGTTGTTTATATCCAACTTCAGGGTTTGTATAAAACTCTTTCCATCTCATATTTGCATACCATGGTGGCAAACCTAACGCAGCGTCATTTGACATGGCAGTTTGCATTTGTACATCTGTTGGCACTTGACCATAGTTTGCCATTGCAGTTTGTATTCTAACTTCATTTGGAATATTCTCTGGGTTTGGTTGTCCAGGTTGCTGTGCATTCGCTAAGTTCTGTGCGTCCATTTAATATTAGATAAAAATATCTCTTACGAGTACATATGCTGAACATTTGCAGGCATTGGTTCATCTTCATATTCTCTGTACTTTTCTGCCACGTCAAATAAATAAATGACACAATGGAAAAAACCTAAAACTAACAATCCGATTTCAAACCACATTTACTTACTAATAAAATTTCTTTGTTATGACACTTTCTCCAGTTTATAGGACCTCTCTCATATTCTATCTTGTCATATATAAACTCATAGTCATGTATGTCCTCTAACCATCTCATAACGGTTTCCAAACCACTTTTATCGGATGAAAAGTAAAAGCATGGATGGTTATGTATAACGTCTAAAGTTTCTAAAGAGTCTCTCAAAGTCCAGTCTACTTGGTATTGAAAATCCCATGTGTTATAGAACGGCGGGTCCACTATAAAGAAAACATTTTCCTTGTCTTTATATTTTTCATACAACTCTGTCCAATGACATCTCACAAACTCTATACCCTCAATATATTTTTCTATGTTCTCTTTGAAAACATTTGTATAGTTAAGATATAAAACTTTTGACATAAGTGTTTCAATGTCATGAACTCTTATAGAACCACTATATAATAGTCTAGCAGATATACTATCCCAGTCTATATATTCTGCTTTTTTCAAAACCTCTCTCACAATATTTTTGTTATCTAATGGTATACGTTCCATCTTACCTATAGGTATCTTTTCTTTTAACTCTTTCAATATATTGTTTGTGTCTGGTATATGTTTGAGACGGTCCATATAGTTGTCGAAGTCATTGCATATAATCTTTGAGTCTGGGGATATTGTATGACATAAATGGGATATATAGAAACTTCCACCGAACAAATCTACAAATGTTAGACCATTCGGTAGTTTCTTAAGTTCTCTCAATATAATATCTTTACATCTACTCTTATTTCCAAAGAACGGTAACGGTGGTTTTGTAAAATTCATTTATATATAATAATAAAAATGTTTACCCGAAAAGTGACAGAAAAGTGACAAAGCATGAAAACATATATAATTTGTGAAAAGTGAAACAAAAAGTGACATTTTAAAAAGTGACACAAAAGTGACACCATTAATATGATGTAAATAACAACGGTTTTGGTTTTGTCACCGGCTGGTCGGCTGGAGTTCGGTCCTCCTCGTGGGTCTTGGGCAAAATTTCTTAGGGGCTAGAGGGCGCAACGCGCCTGGAAGCCCCACTCACCTGACCTGATCAATGTAAAATGAAATCTTTTTTGAAAGCTACATAATCTTCTCAATCTGACTATTTTTGACAAAATTTTTCATAAAATTCTATGTCACAATGCTCATACCACGAAATATTTCACTATTATGACTGATAAAATCAATCCATTATAAAATGAGTTCAAAGAAATGAAATGATAAGAATAACTTCCATTAATTGAATGTTTTGAGGCTTAAAAACTATGTCTTCTATGCAGCTGAGCATTAATATAAATCCTTTTCTAAGAAAACTCTTTGATATTAGATTGAGCGGAAATATCTCTATTTAGAGCCTAAATATGGCATTAGCTAGCTAGTCAGCCCGTTTGTTGTAGCAAACTATAATCTCTGAGTAAATATATTTTAAATGGTATTAATAATTTTTTATTCAACACCATGTAATATGTTGACATACCACTTATATTCTTCAGGTGTATTTACGAAAACATCGTAATTTTGGTGCATGCCAATATAGTGGGTTCCAAAATGAGGTGCAAATAAATCTCTTACATAAATATATATTCTGTGGAAAGATCGTTCATTATATTGAACAAACTTTTTTGTACTGGGATCCATCACTAAGAAGTCTTCTGGTTTAGCTGTTTCAACAAAATTTTTGATCTCTTTGATTTCTTTTTCTGGAAAATATTTTTCTCGACTTGGAATGTAAACTTCTGTCATGTGCTTTTTGAATACATCATAGAATCCAAAATCTTCATCTGTTACTGCTCTAAATTGAAATTGCTTCGCTTTCCACAAAGTTTCTGAACAAAAGCCTGGAACTTTACTATATGGATAACAAATATGATGAAATAAGAAATACTCGTGTCTCTTTCTAATCACTGCTCGTTCTGCCATTTCTTTAGTTACATCTACAAGAAAGTATCTTGCAAATGAAGTCTCTATACATCTACGTTCTGGATGTAAACCAAATAGATAAGGATCGTAGTAATACATGAGCTTTAAAAAGCATTTTTTGAGATAACTTGGTATTCGCTCTTCATAATCATTGTCAAAATACATTTAAAATTTTTGATTAAAAATTTTTGTATTCAAATATTTGAAATGAAGATTTATAACAATAAATACTTAGTGAATAAATAAGGATGTCGGTTGGGGAACATTTGAATACTCGACCAAACAAGCAGTCCAGTATTTCGAAAAATGCGATTATTACATATCATTATTGCTTATGATATAGCACAGGATTAGAAACAAAATTAAATGCTTGGAATCGAATTTTGCACTTTGTAGAAATTAATTGATCATTGAATTTTCGGAGATTTAAATGGATCAATCCACAGTATTATAACTCAGCTTGACATACGTTAGAATTTCAAAAACGATTAAAAATTGCAACCGAAAATGGTCAAAATTAGGTCACAAAAATATGAAATTTAGATAGCTAATTTGATTTAATTAATTTTTTTAGTATTATATATAGAGCTAGGCTGCACGCCGATAGAAACTGATAAATACCATCTTCCTTTTTCCTAGGGTTACTAATCGCTTACTTTCTGCTCGTCATACGCGAAATGAAAGAAATAATTGATGCAGCCTAATTTATTACTCTAACGAGCAACTATCTTGTATAATACAGCTAGTTGCATTGTCAGTTGTTCTCCTGCATTATTCAAGATTACACCCGCTAAAACCCCACATTTAAATTGAACTCTGTAAAGTGTCAATAATAAATATTTTGTCTGATAAATGGATGATTCTTTAATCTTGATATAGCATGCTCGTATTATAATGAAATTAATACCGAACTTCAGTATAATTACAAATTAAAAGTTTAAAATTGAAGCTGAATTAGTAAGAGAAAATCGGCACATGGAGCCAAAATCTTAGGCATCAATTTTAAACCAGTAAGGGTGTAATAAAAAATAAAATAAAATAGATTGTAAAAAGGAAATTTCTTGTTTCTTGAATTCTCAACAGACTGTCAAATTATCTAAATTTTTGTTATATTTAATGTAATAATAAAAAGTTTATCAGAGATGAATAAAGATTTGATATCACTTATACAGAAGACCACTAATTTGGATATTGATTTAAATATTCGCGGATTTGATTTATCCTCTTAATTATTTCGAAACTAAGGAAATACTTACGAAGACGATTGTAGAAAGAGAAGGATCTGCTTATCTCGTACTGCTCAGCATAATAGAAAACCTTTCTTGCTCTTAGAGTATTTGATTCATCAAATGGTTTGTCAATATATCCAAGCAAGTAAAATGACTTCGGGTCTCCATTTGGAAGATCAGGTTTTGGAAAGCGCGGCTTGTAGTCGATTGGAACAATTGAGTGTTTCATGATACATGTGTCAGTGGAATTTGTTTGAACAAGACTGAAAAGCTTCTTTGAAACCCTTGAAATTACTAACCTGGTGAAAGTAAAATCCCTATCCATCCAGTTTGTATCTGCGATAATCATTCGTTTACCGACTTCCAATTCATTGATTTTCATGATTTGGTCGTAATACAAATTGAAAATGTGACCAGTAGTAGGATCTAATGATCCTCCTTCATGAAAAACATTTTGACCAAACACAGTTATAACACTATAACCGTTTTGGTTCATCGCTTTCAATCTCCTCTGAAGCGTTTGAACTTGATGCAAGGAAATGTTCCTTCCGTTGAAATATCGAGTAGAATTCTCTCCAAAGATCAACAATTCATACAGGCAATTTCCTTGATAAGATGAAAGCGTCGATGACTGGAACTTGAGTGTAAACGTTTTCCATCATGTATCCAAGGAAAAGATTCGACATACTGTTTACCGTAACCAGTATTGTCTGATGATCCATATAAATGAAACCAAACGGATCCATTCCATCTTTTCTAAGCAAGTATATCTGATTGCAAGCCATCTCTGGGTCCTTTGGAGAAACCTTAATGTATAACTTGCCTTTGTACTGAATGGTTTCGCGGATCATCATATAGTTATCTTCACTGGCCATGTAAAGCTTTTCATCTGGGTCTTTCACCAATAAGTCCAAGTATACCATTGCCAACCTCGCTGGAAGGTTGGTTGCCTCTGCATTTATGATCGCGTTCATATTGCAGGTTGGCGTGCCTAACTGTCGATGAGGACAGATCAATGAGGCAAGTAGAAATTGCGAAATGGATGCAGTTTGTCTAGGCGTAAGATAATCTAAAATTTTTATTCCATGAACGCTAAGTCTTTCAAATCGTGCTCTTGTCAATACATTTCCCAACGTTTTTTTGATAATCCCACGAATACAAACCTCTTGGTCCATTCTTTGCAGGGCATCTCTTAAATTTGAGAATATTGCATCAGCTCCGTATAAAGTACGGTCCTGTTTTATATCTTCGATAGCTTCTTTATCTTTTATGAATGCTAAAAAGTTGTTTTGATGGATAGGTATAACATTACACCTATTATCTAGTACGTATTTTGCAAGACTGAGGGAAATCCTATTCCAAAAGGCGATTAATATCTCGAAAGAACCTGTATGACCATACACTGAATAATACGTATTGATTTCATTTGTAATATCGCCAATTATCTGATTTAATTCAGCGTCAAGATACTGGGCCATTTGCAAAAGTTCATTCAACACATCACGAAAAAGTGACAAATCCTGAAGAACAATTAGATGGATTCAAATTGACTACACACATAATGAGGTAAATATATATATATATACAAAAGGTCTTAGATTCCGTTGATAGAACCGGAATTTTCAGATAATTGTGGACAAAGTACCATCTAGATTTAATTGTGACATTTTCCTAGTCTATTTAGATAATAGATCCTTTCTCCGGTATTCCCATTAAGAAATGCAACAAGTTTTGGGTATAAGCAGCGAATATTCCTTTAATTATGAATATCAAGTAAGTACAAACCTATGAAATCATCGTCAATCTCTACAAGCAATCGATCAGGAACTACTTATACGATGAAATCTTTAACGTAAAGAAATATCCATATCCGATCATCAACTTTTTGATCAAAATCTCAGAGATAGCGACCGAAAACAACAAGAATACATTATATAATGATATATTGCCCGCATCTAGCTCATGTTTGCCATTAGTTGTTTCTTATCTTCCAAAGGATTAAGAGACAAGGAAATGTGTTCAGAGCCAAATTGCCGACCAAATCAAACAGACAAAGAACTTCAACTTCGGAATGAAGATCTTAACAGAATTACTTCACGCAATCATATCATCAATCACTCCGTTCCTTTAGGTCAAGCATCTTCCTTTCTATTCAAGAATTCTCAACATGTTGATAGGGAAAGTGACAGATGAAAAATTTACCGACTTTTCAGATGTTCTTGAAGTTTTTTGTAAGATGCGTACAATATTGAGAAGTTCTTCATTCAATGCTCCTACATCTTACTCTTTTCAATATATCCACAACTTAGTTCACCAATTATACAATGTATTATTAATCAATGAACTTCAAATGTTCTTAGATATCATCTGGGAATTATATTTCTATAAGCTTAATTCTATATTGATTAAACACAATCAGTTCAACAATCAGCGGCCAATATGAAGAGTGGATTGATTATTTCTTGAAGACAGGCAGTGTCTAGGCTTTGCTTTGGATTATCTTTTTCATGTCGAAGAAATCAATTTGTAACAATAAAGTTATGTACTTAATATCGTTAAGCTTGTTGTCAGCCAATATAAATGGGAAGACTACAAAAAGGAATTACGGTCTGTGTTTGACAACAGTACTTTGTCAAATTTGATTCAAATATGGCTTTCAAATTTAACAAATGGCACAATTATTCCTCTATTGTTGATCATTGTCAGAAACTTTAATATAGAACAGATGAAAAGATTCCAGATTTCATCAATTGATTTCCTCCATTCAAGGAGAAGCTAATTCCTTCGAAAACCAAATTGACAAAAGTGATTTTGAACGAACAGCACAGCAAAATTTCACAATTTTTCTCTCTAATGACTGTAAGTTACTTGTCTAATAGAACAGGAGATAAGAGGTCATGAAAAAACTACGAAGTCTCCTCATCATGAGACTCTTTAATCTATATTAGACTCTTAGCATACCATAATCTCTGAGTAAATATATTTTAAATGGTATTAATAATTTTTTATTCAACACCATGTAATATGTTGACATACCACTTATATTCTTCAGGTGTATTTACGAAAACATCGTAATTTTGGTGCATGCCAATATAGTGGGTTCCAAAATGAGGTGCAAATAAATCTCTTACATAAATATATATTCTGTGGAAAGATCGTTCATTATATTGAACAAACTTTTTTGTACTGGGATCCATCACTAAGAAGTCTTCTGATTTAACCGTTTGAAACTATATGAAAAGCAGACTTTTTTTTCGTACTCATATGGTATTATTAGTTTATAATAATCATAGAGCTTTCGTTATACTGCAGTATTAAAATATAGCTGTATTGTGATTATCTCCTTGAATTTGAGAGGATTCTAAGTTTAATGTCAAGATAATCTCAATTGAATTTAGCATGGAAGCAATATTTTTACTATTGTAAGATTGCTCATGATAGATCTATGCTTGTTTTACAAATATGTACGAAATCTAATCAAAATACAGTATCACAGGAAGTTGAAAAATAATAACTTTTAAAAAATTGTGTTTTTATATGGTTACAATTGGTAGTCTTTATAATTATGAGTGTAAGCTCTCTGTTTGCTCAGAAATATGAAATATAATCAAGATTGAAGTTTGAATATAATTATATGTGTGTAAATAAGTTATTAAAAGCATTTGTTGCATACTATATCTCAATATTCCTGCAAGTACGTACTCAGATCGGGAGAATCTCTCACTTTTGTTCCGCAATATGACATTAGTCATTTGATTCCTGAAAGGAGTTTACATTTGCAATATACTATCATATTATATTGCAATTATAAACCCCTTTCGAAGAAAGCTAATTTTTTTCATATCTCAATGTTGTATTAGAAATTAGATTATAGAAAGGAGGTTACGAGTACAATGTTATACCATATAATATTGCAATCGTAAACTCCTTTCTACAGTATCTTCTTTTCAATATAATTTAATTTTTTCATTCTTCTTTAAACTAGTAAATTTTATTCACAATTTAATCTAAATCATAAATATTCATGTTTTGCAGAAACGTTTTTAACTCAAATCGTTTTTTCTTATCAAATTTTATATTTTTTCTTTTTATTTTCAGTTTTTTGAATTTTTTTGATCTTTTTTATTCAATTTCAATGTAATTTAATTCTTTTTCATATGTATTATAATTTTATTCATCTTTAAATTTTTAATTTTTGAATACATGCGATAATTATTCATTCAATTTTTAAATGAATGTTTTGATGGGACGAGCTTACTGATAATAGACTCATCCCATCAAAACATTCCCTTGAAAACTCTGGCCTTCATCGAGGCCAGAGCTCACAATTGATCTCCTCAGAGCCAAGTTCCTCGACGGTCGTCCTCATTAGGTTTGATCCGAGAGGAACTTGGCTCTGAATGAAATTCACAAGCTCTGGTCTTAGGAAATGCCAGAGCTTCGCAAACAATCCTTGGGGCTGGTTCCCTCAAAGACCGCCCTTATTCGGGGCGGCCGGAGAGGAATCCAGTCCCAAGAGAGCGCCCATACGAAGCTCTGGCCTCAGAAAAGGCCAGAGCTTCGCTTACAGTCCCCAGGGCCGGCTTTCCCAAATGCCGCTCTGACCCCGGGCGGCAGGCGAGGAATCTGGCCCTGGGATACTTACCAAACGAAGCTCTGGCCACAGTAAAGGCCAGATCCTGCAAGATCAATCCTCAGGGCCGATTTTGAGGGAGATCGTCCACCTTATTGGCGATCTCCACTCATATCGGTCCTGAAGGGCTTCAAAATACAGGCCCTGGCCTCAGCAGAGACCAGGGCTTCGCTTACAGCCCTCAGAGCCGAGTTCCCTGAGATTGCCCAAATTACGGACACTTCTCAGCGGAACTCGGCTCTGAGAAGCAACAAATACTAAGCTCTGGCCTCAGCAATGGTTCAGGGCCTCGCTTACAGTCCTCAGGGCCGGATTTCCCAAATGCCGTCCTGATCTAGGGCGACAGGAGAGGAATCCGACCCTGGGAAACAGCAAATCCGAATTTCTGACCTCAACATGTGTCAGAGCCTGCAATACTAATCCTCAGGGCCGAGTTTGAGGGAGATTGCCCACATCATCGACGATATCCTCTTATCTCGGCCCTGAAGGACATACAGATACAGGCTCTGACCCTTGTTGAGGTCAGGGCATCTCTATAAAGGGCATTTTTCTATGTTCTTTCATTTTCTGAAAGATCATAGTGAAAAGGCTCTCTGATGCTTTATTGTTTCAAAATAGTACATGCTTGAGATTATAATTTTGCAGCAAATTTATTGATTGCATGCAAATATTTGATCTTAATAATTCAAACATGCAAATTTAGGGCTTCCCCGTTACAAATAAAATATTTGCTTAACGGAACTCTTTTATAATGAATAAACACTCTTTTTTATATAATAAAATATTTCATCATCAATGATAATTGAGTAAATTTATAACAATAAATGTATTTACAATAACAAGTACATATCATTATCATATATGCTTATCTTCAAAACTCTATTTTAAAAAAGATGCCTAATTGCAGATGCAATAAAAATCAAGTTTTATAGATTAACACATTGAAATTATACTTTGCACAAAACATTATGCTTGTGCTTGTAAAATCTTTTAAACAATTGTAAATAATCAAATATGATATTTGATGTGATATATGTCTAGACCAGAGATTGAAATATGAACAGGAGAAAGACAAGTTCTGATCATAGGCAAACATTGGACATCAAATACTATGCTCTGTAAAAAAGTACGAAAACTGGAAAAAAAATTGAGAGGGGGTACGAAAAAAAAGTCTGCTTTTCGTATCGACTCTAACCGTTTCAACAAAATTTTTGATTTCTTTGATTTCTTTTTCTGGAAAATATTTTTCTCGACTTGGAATGTAAACTTCTGTCATGTGCTTTTTGAATACATCATAGAATCCAAAATCTTCATCTGTTACTGCTCTAAATTGAAATTGCTTCGCTTTCCACAAAGTTTCTGAACAAAAGCCTGGAACTTTACTATATGGATAACAAATATGATGAAATAAGAAATACTCGTGTCTCTTTCTAATCACTGCTCGTTCTGCCATTTCTTTAGTTACATCTACAAGAAAGTATCTTGCAAATGAAGTCTCTATACATCTACGTTCTGGATGTAAACCAAACAGATAAGGATCGTAGTAATACATGAGCTTTAAAAAGCATTTTTGAGATAACTTGGTATTCGCTCTTCATAATCTCTGTCAAGATACATTTAAAATTTTTGATTAAAAATTTTTGTATGGGTCGCTTACGTTTTGGCGTCGCGTGGCGTCGCGATGTAAACTATTCAATTTTGAGAGGTTTATACCATTTTTTCAAAGGTTTATGGCGTCGCAAGGCCAAAATTGAATAGGCCGTTGTCGCCAATGTAAAGTTTATTTTTGACATATAATTAAATCTTTATTATTTTTCCATCATAAGTAGTATATGTTGACGGGTTTAGTGACTTTTTTTGTTACATCTATATATAGACGATGCATTAAAATATATTTATTTATAAATCATTAAAAAATTAACATTAATTTTAAAATAATTTATTTTTTTATCTTTTATAAAAGAAGCTATATATAGATGATGTCAGATATTCCGCGATTAATTAAACATTGTTTAAATCCTGAATGGGTTAAACTTCAATTTAAAAAAATTATCGAACAATGAATTACAAATATCGAATAAATTTTTAATTAAAATTCCAATATTTCGATTTAAATCTCATGAGCTGAACTTAATAATAATTTTTTTTTTAAATCGATGATTTTGGGATTGTAATAAGATCATTAATTGCTTTTGTATTATAGAAAAATGGCGTGTATTTTCTCTACCTATTAATTGAATTTTTTTCCCCCCCCCCTTATTAATGCAGTTTCCGATCCAATACTTGGGGCTCATCTATTTCCTTTTATCCTAAGTATTCTTATAGTTTTGTTTTCCATTTTCAAGTCTAATAAAATTCATTTCTAAAATAGAATCATTCAAAAATTGAATTAATTCAAAACTTTCGATCTATTTTTAAAATCGGGATAATATTACACTCATGATATTAAAATCTATTTTTACTAATTTAAATCTTTTTTCGAGCATTATAACTTTTGAATTCCTTTTCAATATTATAACCAAGCAATATTGTTAGCGTCATCGGAGCAATATGTTTACACTACTGTTATTGATATATTACTTTATAAAATTTCCGGATTTTGTGAATACTTTCTCAATCTCAGCCATTCATTCAATAAATTGAATTAGGAATTTCTTACAAAAAATTCAAATAAAATTGAAAAATCGATTCGCTATAGTAAATATATTTTCCAAATGATGCCTTCTTATATTAATTTAAATTTTTCAAGACGATTTTATATTTAAGTTTATTGTTTACTTTTATTACCTATGAGCCTTGTTTCAACATTAATGCAATTATCTTCAATTTATTCTCTTATAATTTTTTTTTTCATACTGTTGCAATAACGTTCAGTAAACTTCGACCATTGAAAATGCTTTTTCTTCAATTGGTCGATTTTGGTTTAAATAGATTTCATACTTTTTATCAGAGATTTATTCGATTCATAAAAATAGGTGATTGCAAAGCTATATAAAAGATAAATACCTTACATCTAAAGTTATAATAATTCCTTACACTAGAGTGTTGTCTCCCTTAAAATATATCATATGGTATGAGAATTTTCAATAACAAATAACATTTTATTGATTAAATCTCCCCAAATATATAAAGATATCCAGCATATTTCAATAAACTAGAAATGTTATTGATGTCGAGACTATTGTTTTGGGGAATATGACAATTTTTCAAAAAAGGGTCTCAAAATTATAATAAGTACCAAATATATAGAATATCATTAGGAATAATTTACTTTTTATGTGGTCTTGGTGATGTGAAGTTGTTGATTAACTTTCGGATATAAAAAATCAATAAGAGAATAATACTTATTAGTCAGATGATCGGTATTTATCCATGGTAGTTTTGGGTGTATTTCAAACAGATATCAATAAACATATTGTTAACTTATTTTTGAAATCAAACTTTTCGTAATTTTTGTTCCCATGAGAACAAAGATTACTGATAGATAGGTTAAGTTCTTATAGAAACAAATATATCAAATTGGTAATTTTTGTGAGTATAAGACTAGAATTTGAAGTTATACAAGAAGAAATTGCAACGTTAACGCAATCTTATTGAGTAACATCATCAGATAAACTAGTTTTAACAATACATCCAAATTCAATGATACACCCGAAAGTCAATTTCGGAGATCAAGATAAAGTGTTTAAATTTGCATTTATATTAGTTAGATTTTCTTACCCTACAGTCCCCCAAAATACTATGAAAGTGCTATTTTGCTTCAAATTGCCTTTTTTCAAGATTTGTTTTTGTTTCTTGCTTGAAAATGATTTCGATAATTAGTGTAAGAGATAACAAAATCATGATCTACATTGTAATCCAAAAATTGACAAACTTTTGTTTCCATAAATGCTCATAAAAAATAAAACAATATTTGAAAGAATTCATTGAAAAATTTAAGAACAAATTGAATTTTTTTCATGTTCGTTATTAATATGACTAGTTTTCGATATAGATTTGTTTAATCAAATTTTCAGAATTAATTTCCCATTACAATTTTCACTCATTTAAAAAAATGTATCGACCTCGCACTCCTAAAAGTAGCCGAAGCTCAACTCGGCGGGCTCCAAGAAAGGTATTGCCTACATATATTTATACAGAAGATAATCTCCATAATCTCAACGAAGTAGTAATTTCGATTATTAACGGAATCGGTATGGATGTTGTAGATCCAGCTCTCTTCCTTTATCTTGTGGGGCCACTAAATGATGCAGCTATTAGAATGCAAAGGTGCAAAAGCTACAGCGCAGTCAGACAAATCGATATCGCATTAGATTACATTAATAGTTATAATACAAGACAAAATCTTGCTGATGCAGAAGGAGAAGACTCCGAATATGCCAAAATTTATTACTCAAATCCTGATCTCAAACCATTTGTTGAAGCAGCTTTGGATGGCCAGCCATTACCACCGGTTAGTAGACAAATGAAAGATGATATAGTTGCGAAATTGCGATACGTTATGGCTTCTGCCACAGATGATAAATTATACCACCAAGCACAGGACACTTTAATAATGATAGCATCAGAAAAGAAGCTTGGCGAAAGAAGTGTTTATGATCTTGACTTTTTACGTGAAACTGAACCAGATTTATCAGAAGATGCAAAAATTGAAATGATCAACCAAAACCTTCGAAGATCTTTACGCAAGAACAAATCAGAAGAAAATGCAGAACTTGAACGCCTAGAAAACAATTTGAACGCTCAATTAAACTTAATAACTCGTTTACGGGAAATTTTCCCACCAAAGATGGCCAAATCGTCTGAAATCGGAGAGCTGAGGAAGAAAGAAAAACTTTACCAAACAATGAATCAGCCTTTCAAGGCTTCTAAGGTCAGAGATCAAATTAATAACTTGAAACAAAAGAATCAAGAAGAATTCCAGAACAAAGTCGAGCTTGACTTTGAAACACAGAAACAGATGTTAATTTCCAAATACGAAGAAAAAGTTGCATTAAAACGCGAATATTACAAAAGACAAGCATATAAACTAAAACAAACTGCTGCTAAACAGAGAGAAGCTGTTGAGAGGAATCGTGAATCTAGAAGTGTTCATTATGGATCAAATCTTCCAAAATTATAAATTTAATTTTCGGATTTGTTCACATTAACATAAATATTGTTTGAAATTTATCGGATAAAACTTATTATACTATCTTTTCATTAACTATTTTGCAAATTTTATTTCTATGATTCTATTGAATTTGAATTTCCTACTCTTATTGGAAGTTATGAATATATATTTTCAAACTTCGACTATTAATTTTCAAAATTAAATTAAATTAAATTCATATAAAGCTGCAGTAAATTGATCATTTGAATTATTGAACATGAACCAACAATCACATTTAATTGGAATTTAAACTAAAATTTTCTTTTCATAATGATTATATCTTCAATTTCGATATAACACATGTTTAGATAAATGAATTTTACTGTCTTCTCGGGAATTTATTGTTATTTGCTTCATATTATAATAACAAGAGAGACAATGGAAAAAGAGATAAAATTATGAAGAACAGGATATTTATGAAAATGACAAGAATGCTCAATGAAGACAGAAAGGTTGAGATAAGAAATGAAATTGACTTTGCTGTATCCAAAAAGATCAGATTGATAACATTTAAATACGTAAACAGTTACAGAAGAAGGATCTTGGAACATTGATATAACATCGAATGAACAATTCCCTAAATAATATACTGTTTTGAGTGATCTACAATCATAAAAAATGTTTGTCGATATTGATGTTACAGAACTTGGGAAAGTGATTGATTCTAAAGAAAGACAATTCAAGAAACAGTATTCAGAGATTGTAGTCAGATTTGATAGTGTAAAGCCTGCATACTTTAAATCCAAAACCGCATTAAATGCATATCTATCAAGCATAACTAAATTTTGTTTGGATTCGAATTTTTCTAATGAAGTCAAGGAAAAAGCAGAAGATGCAATAATTTTGACATCTAAATCAAACTTTGTTATATTTGCACATGCGCGAATCAGTGAACTAGTAGATATTTCGATCAAACAATTATTTTCGACTTTGAAATAATTATTTGGTTGCCTAATAGTGAATTATGTTAGATATTGACACGCTTCAAATGTACCTAAATATGATATTTTGGAAATTGATGATGGAAGATTTATAATGGGAATATTTGAGAACTGAAATGCTAAACTTTTAATTATTCTTAAAGTTTCGGGAAATATTATTGAAAAGAGATTGCTTGTATTCGAAAATGCATAATCGTTGATAGTGTTTATTCTAGACTTACTAAGATCAAGTGAATGAATATTTGAATCTGCAAATCCTCATTCTCCGATAGCTGTTACATCTAGATATTGATCATCAATAACGAGATCTCCTGAAATCGATTTATCAATAATGAAAATTTCGTCACCATCGATTCGATAAATTCTTTTTTTTTTATGAATTCACTCAATTTTGAGATAAATTTTATTATGAATTCAATTTCTAGAATATTGATCCTATCAACTCATTACAACAATAGAAGCACTATTAAATCATTCTCATGACTTAAACAACCTCCTCGAGGGTTATTTTTATCTAGATTTCAATAAACATCAGATTAAAATTGAATTATTATGGAATTCTGTTTATAAAACATATCAACATACTTGGAAATCAGTATACGTTCAATTTTAGAAGGATTGAAAATAATTTAATATTAAACATTAAATTGATATCGTTATTTCTTGAAAGAGATCCAGATAAACAAATTCTGAATTTATGCTAAGATATAAACTTGTAAATACAAATAAGCCAGGTGCGCATATCCATGTTTTTATATATGATCAACAATATATTTTTGATTATCCTTGCACTAGTAATACTGATTGTACTGATTATGAAATTACCTTTCCACCTGGAGTTTATAAATTCGAACTTTATGGTTCATCTGGTGGTAGTAGAACGGGTCATGTTTCATCGTATCGATTTCCGAATGGAAGCTGTATCCCCAATGAAATTGTAAGCCTGGATCGTGAAAACACACAATGTCGAACAGATCCTAGCATTGGGGGTGCCGGAGGATATATTTCTGGAATTATCCACCTGAGTAAATCAACAATTTCGTATGTAACCCTCGGTGGCCAAGGAAAAGTTTCAACTATAGTAAATGATTGTGGTGCTGGCACTAACTGTTTTGATAGGAGTCGTTATTCTCCAGGAGGATATGGGGGTGGAGGTAGTGCACCTCCCCATGATAGTGTTGGAACAGGAGGCGGCCAAACAGCCGTAAAATTCCAACAAAACGATGTTTGGCACAGAGTGATCGTCGCTGGTTCTGGTGGCGGCTGTGATAATAATGTCGGAAACTTTCTGGGCGAAGATGATGGTTCGGGAGGTTCAGGAGGCGGTTTAACTGCTCAAGGATGGTTTGAGAATGGAAAATACAAGGATTCATATTTAGCGAATTCTACATTTGGATTTTCCTTTGGATCTGGAGAAGCTGCTCAATTGTCTGGTTCATTGAACGCACATGGCGTTCATAAATACTCAATATATAGTGATAAACCAGGGTCCGGAAGTGGATGGTTTGGCGGTTTTGCAAGTCAAGATCCAGCTTCTGGCTCAGGAGGAGGTTCATCATGGGCATTATCTAAAGATGCAATTATTCCAAAAGGAAAGATCAATGCCACTGATGACTTTTACTCTCTCATTGGAAGTAGTGAATATGCATTTTCAAAATATGATTATTTATTTTCGAATGTTATTCATCAAGCTGGTATCTGGGAAGGCAATGGTCGACTTATCATCAGCGTAATTGAATATCAACCATGTCGCACATATAAATGCTATTTAAATAATTATTTTTTATTTAGTATGAATCTATTTTTAATATTGGAATAAAAATATTTTAATAATGGCTGTACAACTATAGTTTAGGTTGTGAGGAAAACATCGAAAATGACATTTTCAATTTTTCAGCTAAATCAAAATAAGTATCATCTATTGGGTGATAGTTGTAGCATTCCAAAACAGGTAGATTTATCTCTACAAGTGATGTTCTTGTTTGAATGTTAGATGTTGTAATATCCGAAGATAATGATGGAGAATTCTGAATAAAACTGTTTTTCAAATTAATAGGATTAGTTCCTGATTTCATAAAAAGTGAAAAACCAGAAGGTCCAGAGTTATTAAATATTGAACATTTTTCTAAGTACACAGTACCATAACAATATATTATAGTGTTTGGCGTAGCAATTGAGTTATTAATGACATTGAGTGATGAAAGATAATGCGTATTTCCATTATAATGTGCTAAAGTAGTATATCCTTTGAGGCATTTTGTACTCTCTATTATACTATATGAGATAGAAGCTGGACAATAAGTTTGTGGGAAAAAGGAGTAACTAGAACAATGCGAGACAATATCTTTACTAAAATTAGTTAATTGAATTGAAATATTACCATTAAATATTGAAGATTCAACAATAAAATTCAGGTTATCCTGTTGGTAACATGATGTATATGAGTGATGACCTCATTTATAATCAGATACATCAATTTGGACCAGATAAGAACATATTCTATGTTGTACTAATGAGATTGATCCAGAAAAATAAAGAGCTCCACCAAAATTGTTTTTTGATATATTCCAAAAGCTGCATTCTGAATGTAAAACATCAAGATTGTTCTTTGTATAACTAATAGCACCACTTTTTAAATGAATATATTGACATCGAGCTACAAGACATTTTTGATTTTTTGGAATTGGCTGACAATTCCTACACGATATTGGCGAAATCTGCTCAGCCTCGCCAAAATAATAGTACCATAACTCGTTATAAACACTGTCAGTTGGAGATCATTTAAATTTTATGTCATTTTATGTCATTTTATGCTTCCTGATCAGATTTTTATTAATCATATAGTTTATTATTAGTGAATAAACCATGTAATATTATTAAATATAAAATTAAACCATACAAATTGTCCGTCACAAATTTGAGAAGAACTATAAAAAATTTTGAGAGAAAACCCATAATTGTGTTCACATTTTAGAATAATAACTATTTAATGATGTGAAATTTAAACTATAATCGAACTGATTGATAATACCAAGATAATTTGAATTTTTGCATACTAAAACATTGGCAAAGTTAAATTGATTTAAGAAAGCTACGAAAATATTCAATGAAAAGAAGGGCTGAAATAAGAAATGAATTTGTCTTGGGCGTGTCCGAAAAGTTCATCTGGATTTCACTTGAATATGCTAGATTCAAATCCTTTTAAGCAATTTGATATGATAGTGTCTGCTGACGATGATTTGTTGAGATAACACATCCAATTCCTAAAATAAGTTATTTGATGAAAATTCAACACTTAAAACCATTTTGACAATAAAATAAAAATGTTTCCTCCTTTCTAATTATATTTCTGGGAAACTTGTTATAGATATCAATAAAATTTTAAGGTTATTTACATTTTTTGAAAAATGTCATCGCAATCTGTTTACGACATTTATCATGAGATTGAAGATATTGACCGTGGAATTAGAGCGATTAGAAAGAACCGATATCTATCAGCTATGGAAAAAATAGCAATTATTGATGAACAACTCGATATTAGAAATTCTAAGATAACAGAGTTACAGCAGCAGAGAGCTCGTGAATTCAAAGAATTTCTTGATTCATTAGAACTCGATAAAACTGGTGTTGATGCAGTATTATTCGAACCAACAAAATGTAATATTATTTTAAGGAACGAAGAATCTCACAAACTAGCTACATCTAAAAAAGTTGGACCGTGGGATAGAATGACTACTAAATTATTCCATAAACAAAACGATAAATTCGAAGAAATCAAATTAAAGCAAAGTGAGCGCGATTCACTAAGAAAAAAAAATTTAAAGGCAAAGGTAGCCGAATTAAAGAAGAAACCAAAGCTTTCTGACACAGAGCAAATCAGTTTGTTTTTAATGAGCAAAGAATTAGAGATTATTCGTAAATACCAAAAAGGAGAGCAAAGCAGTAAGTAATTCCTTAACATTTACATTTGCAGGTTTTATACCTTCATTTTAATAAAAATTTTAGTTCTCTTATAGAAATTCCGTTGTGTCTTCAACCACATTTTGCTACATTATAATTCCTGATTCAAATAAAGAAAGATTATTCAATGAAGATGTAAAAATTTTTACCATTTCAGGGAATCTTTATGCCAAAGTTGCAACTAGATTAATAGTATTTGGTTCTTCTGTAATCTTTTGAGACAAACCAAAGTCGCAAATCTTGATTCGTCCATATTTGTCTATTAAGAAATTGGATGGTTTAATATCGCCATGACTAAGCGACAATGGAGGTGCACTTGCTGAACAAGAATCAATGCAGTTAAAATTTATGACCTTAGCAGAGCTCACGAACAATCCAAAATACATAGAATTATCAACTCGACTTTATAGACACTTATGGACAAAATTTCCAGGAAAAGTCGGTATTGTTGATGTAAATCAGTCTAATAGATCGGACATTATTCGAATTACTGGAGGAGCAGATTCATATTATGAATATATCATAAAAAGCTACATTTTATCCGGTCGAACATCATCCAAAATACTTGAGAAACATATGAAATACTTAGCAATGATAAAAGAGAAAGCAATAGGAAAAGTTAATAATATTACCATTCTTCACGATTATGACGATGATAAAATAATCTACTGGATTAGACATTTATCCACATTTTATGCTGGCACAATTGCAACAGGAGCAGTTAAAGAAAATTCTGAATGGAAATCTGATCTCAACACTGCAGAAGAGTTAACTCACAGATATTATAAATTATATAATCTATTTAAGACCGGTCTTGGTGCCGATATGTTTGACTATGATTTTGTAGATGGAAAATTTATTATTTCATTTTGGTCCGAATCATATATTTTACGTCCAGAAACAATTGAATCCATATACTCACTCTTGAAATTTACAGGAAAAGAGATATATAGATAGTATAATTGGGAAATTTTCAAATGAATTGTTAAATTTTGTAAAGTTTCCAATGGATATGTTGGTGTTTATAATAGTAACGGATCAAGGTGGAGTCTAAAGGTTATGGAAAGTTACTTTTGGGCCGAAACATTGAAATATTTGTACTTAACTTTTGAAGATAATGATTTTTCATACAGAAGCACATCCCCTAAGAATATGGGACTGTAATACATCTTAAAAATGGAAAAAGTATCTAGATATGTCAGATATCCCTTAAATTAATCTGCAAATGCCAATTAGCTTTATCCCCAATTATTAATTCTTTTCTACTATATATATTTATGTTTGTTTTGTTATTTAAAATAAATCATACAAAAATATTTGCATCAATGAGGGAAATTAATTGTTTACCAGTGTTTTAAGGTTCTCACTCTTTCGGCAGAGCAAGATTTACTTTGATTTGTAAGGATTAATGAAAATCCATGGATCAATTTTGAATGGTCTGAATGGTCCTGGTAATATTGGATGTGGCCCGGTTGGTCTTGGATATCTTATTTTATTTTCTTCGGCTTCTTGGAATGGGATTCCATAAATGAAACCGCCTGCACCAAGGTGTCTCTTGAGCTTCTTCAAAAAGCCATTTTCATCTTCCTGGAAGGATGGTAGTGGATGGATTGGGAATAGTCTGAATGGGCCATTCTTTTCGGCCTTCTGGATATATATTGGTCCTGGGAATATTGGATGTGGTCTGGTTGGTCTTGGATATCTTATTATATTTTCTTCGGCTTCTTGGAATGGGAAGTATGGTTCGACCCAACGAGTGCGGGGAATTATTCTCTTATGTTCATTCATTATTGGGATGTATGGTCCAACTGGAAACCAGGAGATTCCAAGAGAAGTAAAAGCAAAAAACATAATGATTTCAATTTCAATTCACATTCAAATTTTCTATCAATAAATCGAATAACTACTAAAAACATACAAAATTTGATATAAATCACAAATTAAACTCAAATTTTGGAATAATGGTTGGAATTCTATTTCAATCAACTTGCACGTGAAATTCTCTCAAAAAGAATGGTTTTGAAATAGAATTGTCAAATGACATTCACTTGTCATTTGACAATTTGCCAACATGTAAAATCAAATTGAGGCAATCTCAATTTAATAATTTTCGAAAATTGAAATTTGTCATTTCAATTTTCGTATACACATCATTTTAAAAGCATTCTATATAACTACTTTTTTAATATTTCTTATTCCTGAATTTGGAAATTTTGACCTTTACATTTTGGAATGTAGATCGAATAAAATTTTTTTTGGAAATTCTGTCTTAAAATTAACTTTTTCGCTGGACTTTTCTCAACTTTATGGGTGTACAAACACTATGGAGACGTAAACAATCGAATTGAATATATTTTTTGAAATGTCTATACATACTGAGAACGATTCGAAATCACTATGTATTATATACTGTTAGACTTTATATTTTACTAATAAAAATGTAATTAAATTAAAAATTTTTAATAAACTAAAGATAAGGTTTTCTATGATAAGTCTGAATAGAGGATACAGGAGCACCGTAAAGTTCCAGTATCCTGTAATAAGGATAAGTCACTCCTTTGAAGAATTCTGGTTGAAAATCACTGAAATCAGCTTTACTGCACAAATAAATAAAAGCGCTGTAAAACTGACATTCGTAAGCTTTCATGTAGTAGTGGTAACTCAAGAAAACTTTTTCTTTGATTTTTGGATAACATAAAACTTCAACATTTCGAAGTGTTGCCAAATCAAGACCAATAACAACTTCTGGTATTGCAGAGTTCCTTGTTATTTCTTTAGTAGTGACTTCAGGAGAAAGATCTACGTTAAATTTTTTAATAATTTCAAAACATTTTCTGCTTTTGTTCTCAATAATAAGATTCATGAATCCTTTCTCAACAGGATTCCTTTTTAGATACTCATCGAAAGCGATGTGCAAATCTGAACGAATAATCTGCGTAATCATGCCGTTTTCGACACAAGAAGCATAGATATAGCATAGGAAGTATTCGTTGCTATAACAGATAATGCTAAAGTCCTTTTTTCCATAAAGAATATTTTTTTTGTATTTTTGGTCGATTAAAAACAAGAAATTGTTACCTGAAGCGATAGAGTTTACATTGGCTATATGTTCGCATGTCTTTTCGCAAAGCCATTCATAAATAATTGGTCGATGAAAAAGAATTGACTCGGAAAGCCATTTTCGAGCAATATTCTTCTGGAACGAAATGTCTTTGATGATCTCGATGCTTCCTCCTTGAATGGAAAAACTGTCCAAAAAATTTGTAATTTTTGGATTTTGTAATTTCAAATATCTGTAAATTTTAACGGATCCAGAAAATTGTATAGCCGAAATAATATCGTAAATTCCGTAAACTCTGTACTCTGAATCAATAAAAAAGGAAGATAACCTTTCTTTTGGGTCAATTATGTATGAATTCGAGAGTGTGTATTTATAGAATGATTCGAAATCATCGTGCAGGATGATTGACCTCAATGAATCTGGTTTGTCGCCGTATTCAATAACATGTTCGAGTAATGAGAAATCATTTGATTTAAATTCTTCAAGGTGGTCAAAATAGAACTTGTATGTGTTGTAATAACTGCCTTTTTTGATGAGTTCGAGTTGTTCGAAATAAAATTTAGTTTCTGAGCGATAAAAGAACTGGCCGAGGAAAAATAACATCTCCCGAGACCAGTACGTTCGATTATGATCAAGTAAATAGTCTTTCAATGCAATTTTTAGCTGAGGAAGTGGAACAAGGTTTTCTCTGCAGCAAAAATGAAGGAAAAATAGGTCAAGAGGATTAACATGGACTAGAAGTTCTGCTTCAATTAACTGTTTAAACTCTGTGGAAAATTCTGTTACAAAATATAAAATTTTTGAAAGGATTTTCCTGATGTTAAACCTCCTACGTGAGATTTGGAACATGTTGTCAACAATGTTTCGAATGTATTTCTTCTTGAATTGAAAAAGAGTAATAAGTTTTGTTGAAAGTTGCGTTATTTTATTCTCTGTTGCGTCGTATAGTTCTTCAATGACTAAGCCGAGTTGAACAAATCGGCTGACTTTATCTTCAGGCAGTTGCCCATTTAACATTGCGATGACGCATTCAAAAAAATTATGTTAAATTGTTTTCTACGACCTGAAATTATGGGTTTCATATAACTTCGTCCATACATTCAGCACTCAAAATAATTGGGAAAAATTACATTTCAAGATCTGTTTTTGAAAAATAAAGATATAGCATAGAAAGATGAGCTTAATCATAGTAAATTTAAGATTTAACGAAGATATTTTTGCAAACGCAAATCAAATGAGAGAATTTTGCACATATGATAATTAATTCACTGCAAAACTTAGATAAATATGATTGAAATTGATATGCTGGAACAATATATTTTAAAATAATACTTATTTAGAGTTATTGCAAAGAAAAAATTCAAAATATTTCTAATTAACATGTCGTTATTGCTTTCATCTTCGGAATTCAACTTCAATTACTTTTTAGTATTCATTTACAATTTCCATTTCTATCTTTCCATTAAAATATTGCTCTTTCAACTGCCAATAAGGGAATTTTACATAATAAAGAATAAAACTAATATCTTTGATTCATAGAATGATGGCTCAACAAAACAAGTCTATTTAAGACTAGGAATAAGATTCAAAATGCGGGCGAATCTAATTTGATTATAAGTGAAATTTTGCATTGGTTTTAGGTGTATGATTGCAATAGCAATTTGCTTAATGACATTATATGTCATGGCATCTGCAATTTTTGCTTTGCTTGTAATATAAACATTCATTGATTTTTCACCGAAAAATGGTATACAATCTTCTGATAGAATTGTTCGACTTGAGACATATAAATTACTTCCTTCTGGAAATACATGAGTTGAAGAACTATCAGAAATAGGATTAAAATGGCCATGAAAATTAATATTTATTGTATTAGTAATATCAGAAAATGCACTCGAATAAATTCTTATGTAATCGGGATTGCTTAGGAATGAAATATTTTTTAAATTTATACAGTTATTAAATGCACCTTGATCAATTACCATCATATTACCATGAAACTGAACAAATGTAATTTTTGTACAATAGCAAAAACAATAAAAATTAATATTTCTAACATAATTAGGAACAATAAATTCACCAGAATATGATGTAACAACTCTAAATAATGTAGAATTATCTGTTCCTGAATAAAGAGATTCAGAATCACTTTTATAGTTTGTATTTTTTGGATCAACTAAGATATTTTCTAAATATGGAGTAGACATAAATGCAGATATTGAAATGTAATTTACGAATTTTGGTATAAAAATTGATTTAAGTTTTGAGTTAGAGAAGCAATCGCTATCTATTTTTGCTAATTTAGAATCATGCGAAATATTTATTGTTGTTAAATGACTGTTTGAAAATACAAAACCTGAAATAGTAACTAAAGAATCTGGTAAATTTATTGATGTTAAATTTTCATCCCCATAAAAGCAACTCGCCTCGATACTCAACAGGTTTGGGGGTAATATAATTGTTTTTAAGTATTTGCAATTCTTAAATAAAGATGAATCAAGTATTGTGAGTTTTACACATTCACTAAGATTTACGAATTCAAGACTTGCTTCAGAAAAACTCGAACTTTCGATAGTTGTAATCTCACTACTTTCTTGAAAATGGAGCGTTTTGATTGAATCTTTACAATTTTGGAGAGATTCTATTGTTGTTACAGTATTAGGAAACAAAACTTCGCCAGTTGAATCGGCAACACATCCGATAACAACTTGATCATTGCTATTTTCTTTATATTGAAGTGTCGCAATACTATAACTATGATAAATGAAATATGAAAGCAAAATTAAATAATTCTATATGATTAATCAAAAAAAATCGTAATTTTTTCTATATTATTATTTTTTGTTTTTCAATTCTGAATTATTATTGAAATATTAATATCATTAAAATCTTTTATCAAAGAATTACCTTTATGAATACGTTTTATTGTGGAAATTCTCTTATTGTTAATTAATAATCATGTTTTTTGAAAGATAAAAAATAATTATATCATTAGCCCGTAATGGAAATCTTGTTTTTTGAAATAGTGATGAAGATTTGTTGCTTTTTTGAATCAATAAAAATGGAAAACTCACATTTTAATGAATATAGACACTTTAGATCATCATTTAGTTAGTAGTTATATAGCATACATCAGATATTCAATGATAAATCCTTCTAAATTTATAAATATTTTGGCTTTTAATTTACAAATTAGAAATAATTCAAAAGTGACAACATAAAATTTGAGAGATATTCAATAAATTTAAATGCGTTTCTGACCATGAACATTATTAGAAGCAAATCATAGTCAAAAATTATTGTTCAGCATGTTGAAAACAGGCAGATTTCATGGCGTAACATCTCTTTTTTGAATATAAAAATCATATTTCATATCATGGCATTTTAGCACATTCTCAATGATCAAATTTTGAAAGGACCATAACGGTAAAATTATTTAGATAAAACAACTCATATTTCTAATTGATTCTTTTTAACTTTTGAGTAATATTTTTTAAGGAAATAATGAAGAAGAAGTTAAACAAGAAAAAGAATAAGGTATATTAATTTATGTTAATTGATATTTGAGAGGTAAACCAATACATTTTAAAGAAAAGATTAACGAAAAATCATTTTCAAAACAAGAACTTTTGTATTATCAGCTGTAGTAGAAATTCGAGGCATCTCTTCCTATGAGAGACTTCGGAAGAACTTTTCCTATTCGCTTAAGTACAGAATCCTCAGCTTTCAATTGAACAAATGATCCTGATTCAACAGCTTAAAAAGAGCTTTTATATCATTAGTTGGATTAGAGACCCGAATAACACCTTTTAACGACAAAAATGCGTTTGTTTTCGGTGTCTTTTCGACTTGATTTAATATATTTGTCAATTGTTGTTGTATCATAAATGTATTCCATATAACATTTGAATGAGTCAAGAAAGGAAAAGAATTTTCTGTGATATTATTTCTTACACTTTTGTGAGATCTATCAGCTTCATCTAAATATTCCAATATGCAATTGATGTTTCAAAAGCAATCGTTTTAATTATTAAAAATTATATATTTATTTTTATAAAAAAAAATTTACCAGCAGCCACCATGGACAGATCGCAAATGAGCATAACATTCACCTTCTGAATTAAAGCATGCTTTGCATCTCCAGCAGAAACTTGCACCACAGCGGCATGTCAATCGATTGCAGCCTGACTCTTTGAAGACCATAATGCCACATCGTGGACATTTCTTCATCATGTCAGTTTCTGGAAGATTTTCTTCTAAGTCTTTCTTGCAAATCTCGCCTTTGTTGTGGTGTGTCATGCACTTGTTGCAGAATCTCTTATGACAGATTGGACACTCTAAGTTCTTCTTGAAATCATAGACTGTTTCTTCGTGATCTGGACAGAAGTAGATTTTGCCTGGAGATGTATGCAATGTAACAATGATGACTGATTTAAGCCATCGCTGCATCAAACTGTAGACTTTCTCATCTGAAAGAGAAAAGAACATCTGACCAATAGGTGAGTATCCTTCGAAGTTGATAGCACGTGGCATTTGGTTGTACTTAGTATTTCCTTTGTTTTCATTAAAAGCATCATGTAAAAACTTTTCTAAACATGTCAAACAAAAATGTTTCGCTTGACTTGTATTGTTTTTAACATCATATGCAACAATGTAATTCTTACTTTCTTCTGGATTAGTACACATATCGGTGCATCCAAATACTTTGACGTCATCGAAATCTTCGATTTCATTTTCATAAACAAAATCTGACAAAATAGATTTAGCGGTTTCACTTTCGTATTCTGGAACAATCAAAAGTTTTCGTTGACTGTCAACAACCCAATATGGTGAGATTTCACTAGTTTTGCTGATAACTAATGAAAGAGAAGCATCTTTATTGATGTTCAATGTTTTGAATGGTGGATTAAATTCTTCATCTTCTTCTAAAATGTTACGAGCTTTTTGTGCATCACGCCATGACATACCGATTTTATTGTTATCAGGGAAACAAATGATATCATGTTCTCTTAAGTATTCAAGAAGAAATTCAACGGCACCTTCTGAGTTGAATAAACTTGGATGGAATTTAGAAGCAGGAGGATTGAAGATAACTTCATCAACTGCAATTTCGCCGTCATCTAATTCGATGTCGCATTTCTCAAGTTGACTTAATTCTCTTAAATCACAGACATATTCGATCTTTGGATTTTGAGTGAAATGGATGACTTGTGATGGAAGTTTAAGATCTTTGTCTGAAACTAAAAGAAGAGGAAGGATTTTGTCAACGTATGAAATTCTCAATGATTTGCCTGGATCATTCAGCAAATTGATATTCTTCAAACAATAATCAAAACAATGCTTATCAAATTTGTAAAAGAAAAGTGAATTTGTTTCAAGAAGTCTTGTGAAAAATTGATCGCCAATTGAAATCAATTCCAAACTGATGTTATTCATGATTTCAATAGCAAACAATGTTTCACCAACAAATGGCATGATTGAGGCAATGTCTTTAACTGTTTTTTCAATCATGTTTCGCATCTTTTGATCTTCAATTACAATTTTGTTTTGATAAACTTTTAATTTCATGTTTGGATAAACCATATCAAAAATCATTGTGAAATAAGCAGAATGGACACATCCTGGACAGTCAATGAACGTGTAGTTGTTCTTATCAGTGGAATGAATAAATGTGTAATTATCACACAAATAATAGAAATTTTCTGGATAAAAATTGTCAGAAAATCCTGGTCTTTTCTGGAAAACAGAAACATCACTTCTCTTTGCTTTATTTCGTGCAAACTGCTTGACAATCTCTGCGTTGATTTGATCATGTAAAGTGTCAGAATTCTTAAGAGAAATGAGATTTCTGATGTCACTTTTTGTCAAAATTAATTCAAGTTGGCACAATTTTCTGAGAGAAATTCCGATTTCTTTTATCAAAAGAATTCTGTTGTTTTCATTGGATTCGAATATTTGTGACAAACAATTGATAATAGTAATGAAATCCGAATCCAAATTTGCATTCATCATGAGAGAATTCGTTTGGAAATCTGTGAAAAATCCCATATAATTTTTTGACAAAAATTGAATGAGTTTGTTCAAAACTGTCAAATTTGACACTTTTTGTTCATGGAATCCCTCGAATTCATCATCATTCAAGTAATCCTCGATTATTGTATCATAATTTCTTTCTTCTCTTGTCTTAGTTCTTTGTTCAGCACTTTCCAAAACAAGATAATTATAATTTCCATGAACATTTGAAATTTTATACATATAATTCATATCATTTTTGCAGCCATTGATTGCGAAACTACAATTCATGATTGAGCTCTGTGTATCTCCGAAAACAAACAAAACAAAAATGGAAGAATTGGGATTTTGAGTGTTAAACAAATTCAAATGGGATTTGATGTTCGAAAACAAAGGAATTAAACAGGATTTGTTCTGACACAATGATAGAATGTCTTTGGCACTTGTTTCTGGTGTCTTTTCCGGTGAAATGACTGTTAAATTCGATGTTTGTTTTTGGTATTCGTTAATTATGTTCTGAACATCGAATAAAGAGTCAACAAAGTAGACAATCTTAGATCCATATCTATTCCTATTGTTAGTAGCATATGAAAGTGCTTCAATTTGAGATTTTTGTGAAAATTCAAGATTAATATTTAATTGTTCTGTCTCAGAAACCTCGAAACCAACATTAATGGGATTAGCAAGTGATAGAATGAACTTAAGACGACGTTCCCTGCGTATTTTTCTGACAACATCTAAGATACTAAAGTATTTGATGTTTTTATGGTCAATTGCGTGGTAAACAACCATCATTTTAGGTGTCTTCTTACCATTGTTTTGTATCATGAATGTTGTGGCGTCGAAAACTGAAATGAAAGCGAGAACTTTTCGATCTTCGTTAAATGCTGTTTGTAAACTATTGAGATCTGTAACAATATCGAGTTCTGTGTATTGGTTATAGAACCATAATGCGTTTTCATGTATCAAACTCTCGTCATCTGAAGTAAAAATGATAAAATTGGTTTTAGTATCAGTAAGTTTGAAAAGAGGGATGAGGATTCGATCACGGTACTCATAGTTGAATGTATAAACACTTGGATATTCAAAAATTTCATGTGTGTAAGGAGGATAGAAAATAAATGAGTAATGATCTGTTTGTTCTTGAGTAATAGATAAGCAAGCATGGTATAAAGCACGAGCAGATTGAACTTCTTTCTGGTCTTTGGAAATATCTATACTTTCTAACAAAAATTTTCCGAATTCTAAAAAGTCATTGACATTTTTAGCATGATTGCCATCGTTTGGCCTGCATTTAGCAAGTATCTGAGCATGTGAAAGAAATTCATCAAGGAAAGTACTGCAAGATTGTAAATTTTTGATATTCCTTAAAGAGGCTATACAATTAGAAATCAGTTGGCGAACTTTGTCCTTTGAATTTCGTGAAGCAGTAATAACGAGATCCTTTAAGCTGGAATCACATCTACTTATTATATCCATAACAACTTTAAAAAAAAATGAAATTGGAAATTTTCCATCACTTTTATTTTTCTGTTACTTTTTCAATTTTTTTGGAATTTTTTTGAAAAAAAAAGTCATAAGACTGTAATGTGATCTCATTTAAGTTTTTTTGGAGCACGTGACATAATTACCAAAGTCACTTTTTAAAGAAAAAAAATGGTGACTTGTTAAACTACCATTTGTAGCGGAAATGAAAGGCTTTGGGGTATATAACATTAATATGTATCCCAAAGCCTTCCATCTCCACTACAAATGGGAGAAACTTTGTCCGAAACTAATGGAATTAAAAGTGACAACTGTCAAATTTGTGTGTCAAAAATTGATCTTCCAGATATTTCTAATAATATAAAATTATAGCTTAATTACAATCACCAAGGATACGTATAACCGAATTAAAATAACCAAATCCTGATTAAAAATTTTCGATAAAATTTTTTGAGATCCGTATTTTTTTTTATCAAAAAATGAATCCTCGAGAAAGGATCAATCCGTGTCCTCTCGCGGTAGGTTTTCATTGTTGGGAAGATCAGTCAACACCTATGCTTGACTTTACATGCTTTTATTCTGTTCCTTGGAATCGTCCTCCAATTCCAAACTCAAAATTATGGTCGGATGACTTTGTTACTTCAATTTTATTTGCAGGAACAAAGACAGGAACGATAGTTGCTTATAAAATTCTTTCTAATAACGGAGAAATCATTGATGCTTTTCCAATTTGTTTTTTATTTGGTCACAAATCACCAATAACATGCATCACACGCTGTTCACCTTTCATATATACAGATTGTGTTGCATATTTATCAAAAGATGGCACTCTTTCCATAATTTCAGTCGAAGATTTGACAATTGTTGTAAATAGACCATCGCTTTTCTCAGAAAACTCAAACTATTTAGCTAACCATGAATACAAACAAGAAATTATGATCGCATCTCAAATCTACGGAACAATTGAAATTGCCAACGTAATTGATGGCTCAATTATCATGACAATCAGCGGATTCCAATCGATTATATCCTCAATAACACATCACGGCTCAATGCACGCGATTTCTACCTATGATGGAACAGTAGATGTTCTAAGTATCTCAGAGAACGATGCAGGCTTCAATTTTTCGACACATTACGAATCAGAATCGTCATTCATTACTCAAAGTCCATCTCCTGACCTCACTTTTCTTCTTACTCTTACAGATAATTTTTGGGAAATTATTGAGTCCGGAAGACAGCCATTTCGGTCTCCACCACCACAGAAAGGCAACTCCTACTCACAGTGCGGCTGGATAAGCACCACGAAGTTCTTTATTCGCAGTTTTACAGGAAAAGTCCAAATTTTCGAAATTTTTCCTTCAAAAGAGACTTCTTATGTCTTTGATTGCCTGCAATGCCGTAAGGAATATCTATTCATCAAGCACTCCAACCAAACAACGAGAATTGAGCCATTTGTCATCAAATCATCAGTTAATTCCGAAAATTTACCAAAAATTGAGCCGAAACTCATTTTAGATCTGAGTTTTTCACTGAAACACTACTCAGAACCAATCTCCGCTTCATGCGAAGGCTTCGTTATCTATTCCCCTGGAAAAAGTATCATACAAATCTATTCCAACACTAATTCTTTCATTTGTGATTTGTCAAATTACTTTTCCGGGCGTTACAGAGCGAGATGTGGCATAATGAGACCAATTTCTCATGAAGCAAGAATAGATTCCGATGGAAACGTGTTTCTTGACAATTTTGACACGCCGATAGGAATTCACAAAGGCTCCTTTTTACTTTATTCACCTCCTTTACCCACGCAAACATTTCTTTCATTTTCCAATGACGGGAGTATCTGCATTTGGGGCAAAACTCCTCAAAAAGTCAACGGAATGACAGAAGCCGTGAAAAAAGTGAATTACGTTGTAGAAAGGAGATGGATAATTTGTATTGCCACTTTTTCTTTTATCGTCATTGATTGTTTTGATTGGTTCAGTGTTTGTTTATGCGATGGCCATGAATCTCCTATCGTTGATGTTACTTTTGTTGATGGAGTCTTTCATGCGAGAACGGAATCATCAGATTTATATGTTTGGTCATGCGATTCCGAATTGATTGGCAAAGACAGAGTTTTACTTGGCCACGAAACAAGTAGAACATATTTACCAAATTCTGTTTCTTTGTCAAAATCAATTTCTTCTCAAATTATGGCTTTGGAATCAGCACATTCTTTTTCTGATGTCGTTAGTATTAATATGCCTAATTGTCAGACATTTGTTGTTGTTTTGAATATCAGTGATTTCGTAACTGCTTTTGAAAAATTTGATAATTTGGATGTTTTGAATGATCCAACTTTTCTTCCTTTGAAATTGTTGTGGACGAAACATGTTGAAGAAGATCTTTTCGGGAAAATCCCGATTTTGGGAGGTTTCGGTTTCTGCCAAGGAGGAGATAATAACACTGTAACTCTTCCTATAAGTTTTTCTAGTCATAAAAGAACAAAAATACAAGCAGAAAAAACAAAAACAAATTCTTCTTCAACAATACAAAATCCAAAATTACAAAGAATACAAACTTTAAGGAATATGTCCGCAATTAAGAATTCTTCTGATAAATTCGAACTCCATAAGAGTATTAACTTCAATACTTCTTCTTTGTTGTCTGCTATTCATTGCGTCGCAGCTTCTGCAACTGCTCAATGTTTCGTCTCTTCAAAACAAGGTGAATTGTCACTTTTATCGGCAAAATGTCAAATTAAAACTGCCATGACGATAAAAGAAAGTGTTCCTCCAATGATGGATGCATTAGCAACGTGGTTACTTTCTCCTTCTCCTGATTTGAGGTTTATTATTTATAATGTTTTGTTGGATTATTTCGCAACTTTTTCTATGGAAGAAGTTATAGAAACTGTTGATTATATTATGAAGAAATTCCCGAATTGGAATATCAGAATGCCTTTTATATTCGTGATGTGTAAATACATCAAGGAAATTCCTCAAAAAGTTATAAAAGAAGCAGCAGAAAATATCTTTCCTATTGTTACGAAAAGAGTTGATTATTTGAAGAATTTGGCAAATTGTTTTAATCATTTCATTTCTTATTTGAAGTTGGAAGATTTCTTTAAGACATTGATTAGTAATTTAGGAGATTCAACGGAAATTATTTCATTTGCTTTGAATTCTCCGTTGGAATTTATTAATGCTGTTAAACAAAAGAATTCGGAACACTTAGTTGAAATGTTCTTGGAAAGATGGTTGAAACCAGATCCAAAGATTATTTTGCAGTTAGTTACGAGATTTTCTTCTGGAGAAACTAATAATTGTCACCAGAAATTGTTTGAAAGATTGTCGTTCATTGTTCCTTTCGTAGGAATTTGCAAAGATTATTCTGTAATTGGAGATAATAATGGATTTGTTACTGCTGTTGAAAGAGGGTCAGGAAATGTTTTGTTTTCTGAACAAATATTCCAAAATGATTCTGTAAAGTTTGTTAGCGCTTCTTCTAATGGAGTAAGATTTGTTTCTATCGCAAACAATCCACCAACGATTGCATGGTTTATTAACAATAAAAACAAATCTCAAAATCACATTTGTTTGCAGAAAACAGAGGATATTCCAGGAAATGTAAGTCAAAGTGTTGCAAGCTGTGTTTGGAATGGAGATACAAAAGTTGTTTTCTTTGCTGCTGATGGTTCAAAGTTATATGAAGCAAAAGCTCCAAATCTTTCTTTCTTCCAAAGAATCTTTTAATTTATTTATTTTTTGTTATATAATTTATGTAAAATATATTTATATCTATTTTGTTATTTAAGGATGCGCCTACATCCATCTAACTTTAATATTTGAAAGCGATATCATAGATTGTTTAATCTAATTTCATAAACTAATAAATTCGATAATTAATTTCGGAATAATGTCAATAAATCCGTAAGAGTAATCAATAAACTCAGACTGTATCAATCTACTAAAATATAATCGAAACTCTTAGTGTGTGTATCATATGTTGTTTATTCTATTTATAAGCTCATCATAATCCTGTATTTGTAGAATCTAAAGTTAATTATTTTGCCTTTCCAGCTCATTCGTGTGTTGATCAACGCTGTTTCTGACAAATTTTAATATATTTAGTTTTAAAATTAGGTTAAAACTGTTAAAAGCCATGCATTTAATAAATTTATAGAGGGAAGACCAAAATTTTTGTTACGGGCGTGACCAAGACCAAAATTTCACCAAAAGTGACGCATTTTTGAGAAAAATCATTATCTGGGACTTCTATGTATACCACTCATCAGAGCATACTCCATACTATCATACTTTATCTTGATGATGAAGTCTGAAGATTATATAAAAATTGATTATTGATTATTATATAAACATTTTGCAATTCTTCAATATGTTGTATAGATTAGTACACTTATTGCAAATCTATCTTGTATTAATGATTAAATTTATTCATTTAAGTATAATGTATTTCATTTCCACCAAAAATGCTTTTTTATTGTGTAATAGTATACAAATAGATAAATATTATATATTAAAACTCATTTATATTGTGATAATGCTTTAAATGCTTATAAATTGTATTGAATATCAAAGTTATGGAATGAAATAGTCTATTAGTTAAATTAGAACGGGAATAAATATACTTATAGTTAAGCATTAGATATTCTAATGTAATTATTCCAAAATGTCGCAATTACAAAAAAAATAAATATTATTACCTAAAAAGTATTGTTTATTCAGCAAACAATGTAAAAATAAAATTATATTATAATTTTGGAAATAATAAGGGTATACATCCAAATTTAATAATCTTGCCTTTTTATATCAACGTAATCAAAGTATGATTTATGCAAATTGTATTTTACCTTTATATTTAAATTGAAAAAACGCATTTAAAATCGAATCTGTTCAATTTGAGTGATTTCTATAATATATTTATATGAATTCGAATTAAATGGAAATAAAATTCGTAGTTGCTAGTACTGGAAATTACAATTGCCTATATATTTATTGTTCTTTGTGTTAATAAATTATTGAATTTGAAAAATAAATCGATTATTGTATAATATCTTGCGTCATTGATGATAAATCTCCATGTATGTTGAATTTCCGATGAAATTATTAGTTTAATCGAATGATATAAGTTTCGAGGTTTGCGATTTTATATGATTTAAGACTTCATTCAATGGGTTACAATAAAGAACATTCACCTTATTCAAAATTCCGTTTGAAAATCTATTATGTGCATGTTTGTTAAAATGTGTGATGTTCATTATAACAAACAACACAATCTTATGGAAATTTTCCCCGATAATTATGTTATTTATAGTTTAGATTTTCATATACTTTGTTATTTATGCTGAGTATCGTATCTAATACTGTGATATCACAAATTTTGATAATTGAATAGAGGAATTCCCAATTTGATAGTGAAAATGCAATAATAGATTAATAAGGATTAAAATAAGACAGACAAAAAATCTCCAAAAATATTTGAATTTTTAAGATTTAATATGAGATTTGTTAAAATTTACATCAAATTGAAGAAAATAAAAAAAATTTGGAAAAATTACATCAGATAATATACATTATTTTTAGTAATTCATTAGAATTGCTTTCAAATTCATCATAAATTCTGCATTATTAATATTGATAAAATAATACTTTGAATTTTAGTAGGGGGCACACCAAAACATATAAGTATATGGTTTTTTAAATCTACATATGAGATCAAAATTTCATAAACTAGTTTTATATCTAAATTATATTTGCATAAAAGATAAAATCTGTAGCTTTATTCATTTATATACAAATATAAATTGAAATCCAGAAATAAAATGGCAAAATAATCAATTTGAAATGACAATATTTGAATAATATGAATAAAATCAATTTTATTAATCATAAATAAAATACACCTACACAATAAAGCTAAAAACACATCTTTGGATGCCTTTTATCGATGATTTTGAATGAGATTCTTCAATTTCATGAACCAAAGAGAATTATTCTAAAACTCAATGACATTTTTGTATGTTTATTAGTTAAAGTCTAATATTCAATCTGTTAATCAATCAAATAGGATTTTCACACAAAGAAATTGCTTATTTATCATAAAATTTAGATTTCAACTCATTTTCACAATATGATTGAGCTTTCATACAATATACAAACAAGGTGCTATATTGAAATCCACTATATTATACTTTAACGCAGATATTCAATTCAATGAGCTTCATGAATCATATTTTAAACAAAGATAGTTATCCAAATATGACATATTTATATAGTAATATCATTGATAGAATATCTACACAATTTTATTCTAATATGAATAAATTATTTCTGAATCTCTTCCAATTTTTATTTTCTGTTTATAGGTTGCTTCATAGTTTCAATGTTATTGATACTTACAGTTTCAACTCCTTCCAAACACATTTTATTTTTTAAATTATAATATTAACCATCATCTTTGGAAATTTGCAGGCGAAAATGAAACAATTTACTAGAATGAATTCACTATATATGTATTCTATATGACCAAATGTATATATTCATCAATATTATATTTGATATAATGAATACGATACAGAATACTTCATTTTTAAGATTTCACAGCTAAATCTACTTCAGTTGATACTATAGTATGCTGAGGCAATTATAAACGATTTGATATGCTCATATTCAATGAGAATCATCCTATTTAATTGCATAGATTTTATTAACATATGTTTTTAATAGCATAATATGATAGAGTATATTCTAGGCCATATAATGCCAAAGTTGAAAGACATGATGATTAGTATTTGAGGATTTTCAAGCTAAACTACGATTTTGACACGTAAATTTTGTCAGAAATAGTGAAATTTTGGTCTTGGTCGCGCCCGTAACAAAAATTTTGGTCTTCCCTCAAATTTATATCGAAAAGCCCAAAATGATATATATGCTCCACATCATGCATACAATTATATTTCATTTTATTATTCTACTTCAGCAATTCTGTATTAAACAAAGATTATATGGCTTGTTTTGAATAAATTGTAACCCAATATCAATCAAATGTTAATTTTTTGATGAATAAATAATTTGTAAAGTTAACGCTTCTCATTAGAGAGCGGGACAAGATCGAAAAATATGACATTTGTAAAGTTCCAAATTTGACAGTGTAAACTGTTTACAAATGTCAGATCAAAAAAACTTTGCCCGCCAAAACGCAAAAGTGCCATAATCTCATAGTGGACCACAGCTGGAGTCGCCGCCGACTATTCACTTGCTGGGATGCTACGCAGCCTTTGATCTGGCCAATCATAGTGCTGCTCCATCTACATCAGCAAGTGATTTCGGCTGGAGATCTCCAATGGGTCTTCCATGAGGTTTCTGCAAGCCAAAAGCACAATATCTATGCAGCCTAGCTGCTAAGATAGCGTAGCTAGGCTGTATAATTGTTGTGCTTCTGGCGATATTAGTTATACGTTATTGCTCTCATGGACTACAGTACTACTCCCTGAACCCTTGAGGGTCAGGGATGTAAGTTTACTCGAAATGGGCAATGTTCATTACGAAATCTCTCATTCGATGAGAGACTTCGTAATGAACATTGCCTTAAAGTACTCTTACTACTCTTTCCTGGTTCCCAAAAGGCCTAGGATTCTGTAATTAATCGAATAGGACAGAGTTTTTCCGAAGTCTCTCATTTGATGAGAGGCCTCGGAAGAACTCTGTCCTAATGTAGTGTGCTTGTGATCTCTAACAATTTGTGTGTCAGAGAATGTACTTTTACTCGAATAGGACAGAGTTTTTCCGAAGTCTCTCATTTGATGAGAGGCCTCGGAAGAACTCTGCCCTAGTGTAATGTAGTTGTGGTACTTGGCCGATAAAGAGCGAGAGAGCATGTCTGTAATTCGTTTATGCTGAAGTTTTCTGAATTTCTCTCAAATGAGGAAGAAAATCCAGAAAACTTCAGCATAAGTTAATGCAGATGTGATTCTCTGGCTCTTTGTCGGCCAGAGAATGAATTAAAAGTTTAATGCGTGAGTAGGCTCGGTGCATGCCTACTCACTGCAAATATACGTTATTTTTTATTTCCTATGAGAAAATAGTTTTCCATTTTTATAATACCATATACTCTATTACATCATAGATAGTCTATTTTTGTAATAAACAGAAATTCATCAAAAGTGACAGCTCTCAATTTTTTGACATTTGTAAATTCTAAATTGAATGAGAAAAATGAAATAATACTAAGCATAATACAATATTCTAGATTTAATTATAATTAGGAAAAAGTTAGTTTTGAGAGTACTTTTCATAGGCATATAGAATGAAATCTTCTGAAAAATAATATCACATAAACTCATATTATTTTCTAATATATAACTATTTTATATAAAAATCAAATTCAATGATCTTAAAAGCGAAGGATAAACCTCAAAATTTACGAATATAATGAGTGGGAATATAATGCTTTTCTATCATAAAACCATATGAAATATCAATTTTTGCTTTACGCCTAATTTTTGACGACAATTAGCAAAAAATGTTAAATGTTAACACTCAGTCCATTTGAATATGAAAAATAAAATTGACTTTGATTAAATGTTTTTATTTATCATGCAATTCTTCTTGCGACCAAAGATTTGAATAAAAGTTCAAAAAATAAGATAGCTTAAAAAATAATATACGGTAGTGTTTACTAATAGATGAATAGTATATAAATTCTATTAAAATGGATTTGATCCAAAGAAGCAAAGAATAATAGTAGTAGATGAGTGCGGGTTGTGTGACTTTTTTTGTTACATCTATATATAGACGATGCATTAAAATATATTTATTTATAAATCATTAAAAAATTAACATTAATTTTAAAATAATTTATTTTTTTATCTTTTATAAAAGAAGCTATATATAGATGATGTCAGATATTCCGCGATTAATTAAACATTGTTTAAATCCTGAATGGGTTAAACTTCAATTTAAAAATGAAGATTGTGAATTATTAAATGAATATGAAAGCCAAAATAAGCTAATGAGGTATAAATATAATGATAAAGAATATTTAATTTCATGGAATCAATGGAGTCATAATCAAAGACCTCATAAACGAGAAGAAGAAATTGAAAATAATGAAATGGAAATCATTGATGACATTAAAGAGGATGGAATTCCTAAATTTTGTAGAAAAACCTTTAGAACTAAGTTAGGAGCATATAAACGTAGAGTATTAAATCCTGAATATCTTAAACATTTATTTAAAAAGGAAGACTGTGAATTATTAAACGTTAATGATTATGAAAATGCAAAATCAAAACTGAGATATAAATATATTGGAAGTGATGAAAGATGCAAAGATAAAGATAAAGTTTATACAGTTTCATATAATAACTGGCACACGTTAGGGATTAGAAAACATTTAGGAGATTATGGTAAAAGTTCTGAATTCTTTAAATCTAGTATGTATGAGAGAATAAAAGAAATCAGATATAATTATCATTCATGAATGAAAAATAAACTTTAAAAATTCATGTCTTACATTTATGAATAATTTATTTTTATTTTGTATGAAACCAATATTGAAAATTCATGTCTTACATTTTTTGAATAATTTATTTTTTTAATTCGTATGAAAATGAGTGTCAAGACTAACGACGTTAAAAAATTGGGATTCACAAACGAGGAAATAAAGGATATATTAGAGGAGGCGAGTTATGAAGTTAATAAATATTATTTAAGAAATTGTCAAAAATTCGCGGAGTTATTAAATGATTTAGATTATGATGGAAAAATGAATAAAGATGATGTTATAAATTTCTTATATCCCACATCTGAAGAAGAAAAACCTAAAGAACCTGATGTTTTCCCTGAATATTATGAAGAACGGATTAAAGATGATGAATATGATGAAATTGAAAGACTGGAAAAAATAAGAGATGAAATAGATGAAAAAATTAAGGAATTAAGAGAAGTTGAAAAATATAATGAGAATGAAGTAGAGGGTTTAATGAATATCCCAGCTTCAGAATCAGAAGTTCAAAAATCTCATGAAGAAAGATATAAAAATTACTTTTTGGAATCTACTAAAAATTTATTAGATGGTGAAATAGATGAAACACTTTCAGAAGAAGGCACAAAATTTATTCATAAACATAAGTTACAATTTATTGACGATGGAGATTATCCATGTATATTACTTTCACCTCCTCTTGATTCTGAAAAATTCAAAAAAGCACTGAAAAATGTAACATATGCAACAAATACGATTAAGAAAGAAGACCATGATATTTACACAAATTATTATTTAAATAAATGTGCAGGTGTTGATAAAGTTTTTGATTTGTTAGATAAAATATCAAAAGAAACAATTGGTACATATAAAATTTTATGCGATTGTGGTTTCATTATTGAAGATACTAATAATGTTTCATATGAAAGAACAGCACCGAAGGAAGACGAAGTTGAAAGGTCTATACCATTCGTTATTAAGAATATAAAAGATATGAAAACTTATAAACATTATATTTATTCATTTATTTCAGAAAAAATGGAAGCAACCCATAAAACATCATCTCATCATTTTATAGCTATTCATACATTCCTTTTCAAAGTTGTGAAATTAAATAAGACAGGAATTAGATTTAATGTATCAGGGTACGCATTCTTGAGTAAATTAAAATGTATTCGTCACGTCGCAGATGATAAAAATTTATGTGTTCTTAATTCATTTTATGGACTTTAGCCCTGGACTTTAAAAAAAATAAACTTTATTTTTATTTATTTTTTAATTTTTTATTCTTACATAAATGAACAAAAACGGAACAGCTAAAATGAATGATAATCAAATAAGAGCCGAAGGTAGAAGGTTATTTAAACGCTTCTATAACATTCCTGATGGTGTTAATCCTAAAACTCGTAGAAGCTATTTAAATGAAGCAATAGATGCATATGAAGGGTTTGACATTTCATCAGAAAGTGAGAGGTTAGCAAGAATGTTAAACGTTAATATTGATTTTTATTATTGTGACCCTCAACCAGAAGACGTAGACATTAACAAGGTAGACTTTCCATTAGTGGAATCAATAATGATAGATCCAGAATTTGAAACAGTAAATATTTTATTAACACAGAGTCCATGTGGAAAACTTCACGCTGACAGAATAACAGACGTTGAAGCACTCACAGGATATAAAGTTTGCCCCTTTTGCAAAGAAGAAGTTTATTCTATCCGTGATGACCCAGAAAGGAAAAACCAAAGAAGATTTTTAAAGCATTGTGAGAAATGTAAAGAAAATAATGGAAGATTAATTCAAGACGTTCAATTGCAAAACACACAACAACCATATGCACCACATATCACGAAACAGAAGATATATCAATGGCTATTAGCTCACAATTTGCAGGAATATTATAAACCAACAAGATATTATATTACTTTTGACTTCGAAACATTAGAGACTAAAGAAGAACTTCAACTTTCTGAATGTGCAACTTTGAACGCTTACTTAAAACCATTTATGGTATCATCAACTGTCAAAATAAAGCCGCAAACGGACCGAAGCGGCGAGGTCGTAGACCGTGATAAAACATTTACGAGGAATTTTTGCTTAACATCAAGTGATTCGTTCATCTCTGATTGGATTGAATTTTTATTTTCAACCTGTTCATTAGTTGCTAAATCAAATATTGAACAATATGAAGAATTAATGAAGCCGCAAACGGACCAAACGGCGGGGACTTTGTCCCATACATTAAATGAAAAACAGAAGGAAGCATTTAAAGAACTTCTAGATGAGGAATTCAATAAAGTGAATATCATAGGTTTTAATTCGGGAAAGTTTGATTTAAATTTAATTCTTCGTGATTTAAACACTGCAAAATGGAAAATAAAATCAATGCTGGGTTCTTCTTCTCAATTTAAGCAAATCATTGTAAAGAAAACAAACTGTCCATATGAATTAAGATTTATTGACATCAGAAATTATATAGCGGGTGGAACATTAGACCAATTCACTCAAGATTTCGGAAACAATAAATCACGTGTTAAATCCTTTTTCCCTTATCAATTCATCACATGGGAGAATTACGAAGATGAATTATATAAAGTGGAACCATTCACTCAAGATTCATTTTATTCAGCATTAACTCAAGAAACAATATCCGATTCAGATTATCAAATATATCTCAATGATGCTAAAAATTTTGAGAATAGATTAGAATATTTTATTCATTATTGCAATAAAGACGTTGAAATTATGATTGACCCAATTGATAAAATTATTGAAGAAACATTTGTTTATAAAATTGACATGCTCCATAATCTTTCTTTATCATCGAATGCATCAATGATTCGTTACGCGTTAGCATATAAGAACTTCAATCCTAACGAAACATATCCAGAAGAAGAAAATGTGGAATCAAGTTTTGAATTAACAAAAAAGTATTGGAAATATAAAATTGATTCATATAAGAAACAAGATGAAAAAGCAGAAAGGGATACTAAAAACAATGTTTCAATGGATGACTATCAATACTATCACGATTTAATCCTTTCATCTAAATGCAAAATGTGTGGTAAAGCGTTTACATATGCTAATAAACCAACATTAGATAGAATCGATAATGAAAAACCACATACCAAAGAAAATTGTCAGTTAATGTGTTGTTATTGCAATGTCGTAAAATCAAATAAAGATGAAGATGTTCAACGTTTAAGAATCAATTTAAGAAATTATACATTAAAAAATAATTTACCAATGACTCTAGATTCAGTTGAAGCTTATCACATCCTCCGTAATGGAATTACTGGTGGTTTATCAAATGTTCAACATAGAGTAAATCTTAAAGGAATCACGCACATTAATAAACTTTCATATAATCCAGAAACTAAAACTGTATCAAATGAGGACACTTCCAACATTATGACTCATTTCGTTGGTGTTGACTTTAATTCATTATATCCTTCATCATTTTCATCTAATCCTCATGATTTCATTCAATATACTGACCATAAAATGTATATGCCGGGAAGATTGAATGGTGTTATCATTTGTGATACAGCAACAAAGAAAGCAAAAGCACTGGGAATAATTAAGAAGAAAAATACTTTATTCGTGGCTGAAGTAAAGGGTCACATTGATGAAAAATACATTAATGATTACATAAACTTTTTACCAATAATAAGAAACTTTGATATTATCACAGATGAAAAAACAATTGGTGGTTTTATGTATAATTACATGAAATCAAACAATCTACCAGTTGACCAGAAACAGAGGAAATTAACTCAGTTAGCATCAACACACAACCAATATCAACCATTTTCTTCTTATTATCTTTGGTATCTAATAGACAGATTTCATTTTATCATTGATGACATTCAATCAATTTTAACATTTACGAAAAATACTTGTTTTAATGAATTTGCGAATGAATTTATGAACGAAAGACAAAAGGCTGAATTAGAAGGAAATAAAGGAAAAAGTTTATTTTGCAAGATTTCACTTAATGGATCATATGGTTACGATGCAATGAATACACAAAATTACGCAAAGACTAAAATAATGAATGCACAGAAGGCACGCGTTGCATGTATGTCAAATAAGTTTAAAAACATAAGAGAAATAGGAGAGGATACGTATCAAGTGATGCTTAAAGATAGATTTTATAGATGTGATACATGTTTACAAGAGGCATTCTTCACTTTAGATAACGCAAAATACTGGTATTTGGTTTTCATTTATGATTTTATGTATAAATGCATGGATGTTAATCGTTTTCATTTCATTGAAGGTGATACTGATTCATCTTATTGGGCAATCGCTGGCGACCCAAATCTTCCTAACACTCAAGCATTTCAAGCAATTGTAACCGATAAAAAATTTTATGATAAAAACATTTACAAATTCGCACCTTTTGATTTCTTCTGTTTTAATGAGAAATTTAAACCTAAATTAAAGAATAAAGCTGAAGAAAAAGCACATGAGAAGAAGTTATTGGGTTTAGCAATTGAGAAACAAGGTGATAACATGGTTGCTTTATGTCCTAAGTGTTATACTTCATTCAACGGTTCAATTGATGGAAGTGATTTTAAAAAGATTGCACAAAAAATGAAAGGAGTTAGTTTACGACAAAATAAACAATTAACACCTAAAAATTATTTGGATATAATAAATGATAAAGTGATATTTGATGGTCAGAATATTAATTTACAACTTAAAAACGGGTCAATGACTCGCTTAACAATCGGTAAGACTGCATTAACAGGAGCACACACTAAGGCTGTATGTTGTGAAAATGGATGTTGTATGCCATTTATTTAATAAAATGCCACAGAAGAGACAAAAGGAACCGTAAATAATGGTTTTGATACTATGATTCAAAGAGGCGGGCACCCTTAAAACACTTATTTTATTTTTATATAAATGAATAGCGTAGATTTAAAAAATTTAATTGATGATTTAGTACTTAATCAAAATTTTCTTAATTATTATGAATTAAAATCATATCTCCAAAAACATGATAACAATATAACGGGTGATGATATGGATTATTATTATTCGTATTATAAAAATGAAGTTTTGAAATATCATGATAAAATAATTTCTAAAATTAAAGACAAAATTAAAAATAATGAATATTCAAAGGGAAAAAGTAAATCACAACTTAAACAATTGAAAGATTTCAAAAATAAAGTATTAACAGAAGAAGATATTGATGAATTATATAAATTATATAAATTATATAATCCTGAGCCGCAAAAAACCAAAGGAACAAAAAAAAAGGTGCAAAACGCCCAGGTCCTTCAGACCATAAATGAAGCACAAGCTTTAATTTATGATTCATTAGTTAAACCATATTCAGCCCGACTTTTAAATGAAGATCAACTTTTGGAATTCATCCTTCAACATAAACTCGAAGCGGGAAAGTATATCAAACCTTTATATACAGCATATTTAAAACAAATGAATAGAATACATCCAGAATTAATGAAGGGGGGAATGAAATCCAAAATCAAAGCAGATAAAATTAAACCACCTGCAACACCAAACCCTCCAACGACAGTACCTCCTCCTCCTTCAGTTAATCCTTCATCATTCACTTTATTATATCCATTTCAAACATTAAAGAAGCAAAAAGATTTTAAAAAGGATTTCAAAATATTAAATAAACCAACTGACCCAAAAATTCAACCGTTAAAGGAAAAATTTAGTCGCCCTTCATTTGCACCATATCCATATTCATACGAAATCGATCATTTAGAATATTCAAGAGGAAACGTTACTTATTTATTTGCCATTAACATTAACACCAGATATTTATATTGCATTCCGGTGAAAGGGAAAACAGAACAGGAAACAAGAAGAGCTATTCAATACTTACTAGATCATGAAAGAGTAGATAATATAAGGGGTGATGGTGATAAAGGATTTCAGGCAGCTATGGCTCATTATTTCCCACAAATTAATTTTTACTTTTCATCCTCTCCATATACGTTTCATAATAAAATAGTTGATGCGGTAATGAGAACTCTTAGAGATGCGTTAGGGGTTAATGGTCAGATATACTGGGATGGAAATCATGACTCCATCATACAGCAGTTAGTATATTATTACAATAATACATGGCATAGAACAATAAACATGAAACCGGTGGAAATGAAAAATGATATTTCAAAAGAATGGGAATATATTAGAAAGCAAATGGAAAGGTTGAATGATGTTAAACGTGAACAAATTAATTCAGGGCTCATGAATTTTAAACAAGGATAAAGTTTTAATTCATCTCGATTATGGAAAAACTGATAAATTAATGACAAAAAGAAGACGAAGATTTGACACAATAGCTGAATTTGTTAGATATATTAACGGCAATGCATTAGTTGAAGTTGACAATAAATTAATAGAAATTCCGATTTATTTTATTACTCCATTATATTTAAATAATATTTAATTTTTTTATTTCGTAAGAAATGAGTAACAACGAAGCAGTCAAGAGTCCAGACGATGAATATAAAAAGAAACTAAACAGAATTAAATCAAAAATATGTTATTACAAAAAGAAGCCACAATGTGGTGGGGTTGAAAACGATAAAGAGAGGAAAGAAATAATCGAAAAATTAGAAACTTATCGTTCAATCCTTAAACTGAGTGAAGCAAAAATAAAAGAATTTAATAGAATAAATAAATTGATTGGAAGAGATGAATTTAATAAAGATGAATTTTTAAACTCTATCCAAATTTAATTTTTATTCCTCTTCGACAACATCTCTCTTTCCATCATTACGCATAACCACATTTTCTCAATTTTAGTGGTTTGTTATTTTTAACATGTTCTTGCATCATTTTTATCATTTCCTCCCTTGTTATGATTCGTGGTAAATTTTGAGCTTGTGGGGTATTCATTTATGATAAAAATAAAAATTTAAATTATGCCGTTCTAAAGTTTGTGACAACAGTCACTGTGTGACGAGACCTGAAGGTCTTGACATTTTGACAACAACACAGGAGGAAGGTAGTTATGACTTATTTTTGAAGAACTGAAGGTGTCACCATGTCACCATGTGTCACCAGGTAATTTAACTTCTCTGAAAAAATGTGACAACATGACATTTTGACAACAGTCACTGTGTGACGAGACCTGAAGGTCTTGACATTTTGACAACAACACAGGAGGAAGGTAGTTATGACTTATTTTTGAAGAACTGAAGGTGTCACCATGTCACCATGTGTCACCAGGTAATTTAACTTCTCTGAAAAAATGTGACAACATGACATTTTGACAACATTTACGAAAATATGATGCAGTCCAAAAATAAAGTTAGTTTTAAAATTATTTTTATTTTTTTATTCCTATATAAATGACAGCAACAAACAACAACAGCAACTTTATCGTTTCTGATGAAAAAGTTATTGATTCATTAGTTGAGGAATTAGTTGTGGCAGAAACTAAAACCCTCAACGAAAGAATTGGTGAAAACAAGATTGATTTACATAACTACCTCAAACATGATGGAGGAAGAGGAAGGAAAACTGGTATGGCTTTATTAGTAAATAAAATTTCAAATTTAACGATTATAGATGTTGATATCAATAAATCGTACAATGATGAACTTAAAGAAACAGTTAGAAAAGACATTTTATCAAAACTTTCGGATAAAGATGTTATCGTTAAAACCGCTTCAGGAGGTCTTCACATTTATTGCAACACTAATTTCTTCTATTCAACCTCGAACAGAATGATTAAATGTTATTCCTGCAATGATTATGATATTGACATAATGACTTCTATGGATGATTCAAAGCGTTCTTTAGTAGTTATGGCTGATTCAAGAGTTCGCAAGAATGCAACAGAACCAATCAATACATACTCCTTCATTCGTGGAAGTTATGATTCAACATTAACCAGAACAGTAAACGATATATTAAATGATTTGAATATTAAGGTAAGAGTTGAACAGAAGAACGAAGAAATAAAGAATATCATGAATGAAAACAAAGATGTAAACATTGACGATAAACTTGCCCAGAGCATAGTTGATGGCATCAGTGATTTTGAAGTACATAATGACGGTGGAAACATGAATTTAGAAAAAGAAGTTACATTATTCACACTGTTTCAAGCAATTAATTCGTTACCTAATCATTTAATTAATGAAGCCTACGATAACGTTTATAACTTCTGCAGTTTAACAGAAAATGCAAAAAGTAATTTTGAAAAAGCACGTGATAGATATGCACATTTAATGACTTCTCCATTTGTTTTGGTAAAGATTCTAAAACTATATCAAAAAGAATATTATGATGAATATGTTTTGCCTTTATTACGTAAGCCAAAAATAACATTTGATATCAAACTTGATGACTCGTTTTTGATAACAGATATTAGACGCAAGGCTGAAAATCATCAGTATAAAAACAGTTCTGAAGTAATTGAGGATTTATCACGTGTAATCCGTTTTGTAGATTGTGGAAACAAATACTTCATTCAAAAAGACTATAATATTCATGATAAAATGAATCAAATATCATTCGTTCTTCAATCAAACATGAAAGAGTCACTCAAAATGATTAAATTATTTAAAGAAGAAGGTAAAACAATAACAGCATGGGATGTACTACTAAATCAATTGTCTTCATTAACCGTTAAGGGTGTTTGCTTTAAATCTGATTCCCCAGATGTTTTCTCAACGTTTCAAGGTTATAAATACAACATTCTCGAAAAGCTTGATTACTCAAAAATTGAGATGTTTATGAATTTCATTAAAGAAGCCATTTGTGATAATAACGATGAAGTGTATAAATACCTTCTCGGCTGGATTGCATCAATGATTCAACATCCTGGAATCAAGAATGAAACAGCAATTATTTTGAAAGGACTTCAGGGAACAGGTAAAAACAGATTTACAGACATTATTTCTGAACTTCTCGCTGGTTATTCATGTAAAAACATTACTGAAATAAGTGAGTTAACGGGTAATTTCAATTCAGTTGTTGAAAATAAAATGTTTCTTGTACTTAATGAACTCAAGAATGTTGGTGAAGACAGACTCGCAAACTTCAACGCTTTGAAATCAATTATAACGGATAATGAGATTAGAATTAATGAAAAGAATCAACCCAGAAGAACTGCTCAGAACGTTGCAAACTTCATTTTCGTAACTAATAACGTTTACCCTGTCAAAATTGAAGTTGGAGACAGAAGATACGTAGTTTTAAGAGTTAATGGTAAATTCAAGGGTCAATTTGATTACTTCAAGAATTTGATGGATTCATGCACAAAGGAATTTTATGATAACCTTTTAACATATTTTATGCAATATGACCTTTCATCATTTAATGTACGAATCATACCGATGACTGAAGCCAAACAAGATTTAATTGAATTATCAACAAATCCTTTAGATGAATGGATAAATACACATTATGATGAATTGAGTGCGGGTATGATGTGTAAAAATGCTGTATTCTGCAAACCATCAGACATGAAAGACAAGAATTTTCAAATGAGCATTAAGGATAAATGTGATAGGAAACAGAGAAGAATAGATGGTAAACAAACATGGTGTTATGTTTTGAAAGAAGAAATGAAAGGATTATATAAACAGGTTGAACCAAACGATAATGAGGATTCATTTACTGATGATGAAATACCTGTAAATGAGGCAGTATAAAGTATGATTTGAATTTATTTTTGCATTCAACCCAGGAATGTTGTCAAAATGTCATGTTGTCACACTTTTTCAGAGAAGTTAAATGACCTGGTGACACATGGTGACATGGTGACACCTTCAGTTCTTCAAAAATAAGTCATTATTGAATAACCCGTGTTGTTGTCAAAATGTCATGAGTTAAATGACCTGGTGACCTGGTGACACCCTCAGTTCTTCAAAAATAAGTCATTATTGAATAACCCGTGTTGTTGTCAAAATGTCATGTCGTCAACATGGTGACATGGTGACACCCTCAGTTCTTCAAAAATAAGTCATTATTGCCTTCCTCTCGTGTTGTTGACACAATGTCATGTCACCATGTGTCACTCGGTTAATTAACTTCTCTGAAAAAATGTGACAACAGTCACTGTGTGACGAGACCTGAAGGTCTTGACATTTTGACAACATTCATGGAAATAAATTTTATCGTTAATGTTTACGTTAATGTTTTCATTTTTGGAATCCTTAGCGAATGAGGAATCTTTTCTCTCGTGGAAGCTTTGACCAAAAATAATGTTGAGGTGAAGAGGTGAGATCTCGCCTGTTTTTTCACCTGTTTTTATGGTAGTAGTGAAATAAAATTTTGTTATCAGTTATTTTATCATCATTTTATTAAGTTCATCTTTAGTTAATAATTTGAATGGATTCGCTAATGTTCCACCTTGAGTCACAACACTTGCCCCGGCTAATTGTGAAGAACCTGGGATAAGTACTCCATGAAATGATTTCATTGGTATCATTAATTTAGAAATAGTTGGCTTAATTAATTTGGTCATTTATGATAAAAATAAAATTGCATAATTTAAATTTTTTTTCTTTCTCATTTTCTCATTTTCTCATTTTTCATTCTGTTTTGGTTTCAGCAACTTTTCAAGTTGTTGTCTTGTCAGTAACTTTAATTTTAACTTTGGATCAAATATTGGGTTTCCATCTTTATCTCTTCCAATAACACCATATGGTAGAATCTTCATTTATACTAAAATAAAAATTTAAATTATGCTGTTTGCTCTTTTGGAGCTCCTAAAGTTTGTTTCACAAACATTGAGCGTTCATTGAACTCTATACCATGCGAATACAGTCATAAATGGTGGCATGTAATCTTTACTTTGTCCCGTTGTTTGTGTATATCCTGAAACGCGATGTGTATGGTTTCCTTCTCCCTGAGTGTCACTCCAGTAACAATTTATGGCAAACTTAACGTTGTCTTTAACATCATATCCTTTACCTTTTGTCATTCCTGACCAATCCCAATATCTATGCTTATGCCAACCTGCTTGAGATGTACTTAAATCTATGTAGTGACTGTGTGCAGGTAAATTTTCACCTGTAATCGTTTTACTTCCCCCTGTTTCCTTTGAAGAGTTTGCACAATACAAAAACCTGTCGACTATTTGTTCCCATGCACCAACACCAAACATTGCTTGAGGACCTCTCACATCCATAGATGTATAAATAGAACCTACTGGGTTCATTAAATCAAACATATGAGATATTATAGGATTGTCTCTTTTGAACTTAAAATATAGTGTAACTATTTCGGGTTTCTTCTGGTTTGTGTCAGAATATTTTTATAATATAATCTTATGTTTTCAGGGTATGTAAAATCTTGACTATAATATTTATTTTTGTCATCTTCATAATAGTATACTATTCTCGTTTTTTCTATTGCATTATATCTTTTATATCTATAATATTCTAAATATAATGTTTGCTTTTTTGGGTCTACATGTGCGTCAACACCATAGTCATAATAATACGGTGCTGGAGCTACGTTAGACAATGTCATATCCGTCATTTCATAAACTCTTAAATATTTCTTTTGTTCGTCTCCATATAAGTTTAAGTAGCAGTTGTTGTCTAATGGAACTTTAACTTGTGTGCCATTATTCTTTATATAGCCTACATACATTTCATTGTTATTTTTCGGAATGAGTTTATACCGTATACCATTTCTTAAGGACTGTACAAACTCCCATCTAAAATATTTGTTTTCTTCATTGACAGAAAAGTCGCCAACAATAGTTTCAATATTTTTTGTTCCAACTAAACTTTGGTATATTTCGTTAACAAATGATATATCTGCTTTCTTTGCTAACTCATCGTTAACATAAGTTTTATCAGCTTTCTTTGCTAACTCATCGTTAACAAATGATATATCTGCTTTCTTTGCTAACTCATCGTTAACATAAGTTTTATCTGCTTTAAGGTCTAAACATTCTGAAACCCATCCTGTATCAGCTTTAGTTTTCAGAATCTTCGATGTCCGTTCATGATACCATTCAACCCTTTCTATAATTTCATTATCTTTTTCATTAACATATTCCTTATCTGCTTTCTTTGCTAACTCACTATCCACATATTCCTTATCTGCTTTCTTCATTAACTCACTATCCACATATTCCTTATCTGCTTTCTTCATTAATGCATTATCCACATATTCCTTATCTGCTTTCTTCATTAACTCACTATCCACATATTCCTTATCTGCTTTCTTCATTATGTCATTTAGGAAACCTTTTATGAATTCCTCATTTAAATTAAATCTTCTAATCTTCAAAACTTTAGGAAATGCATTTAATGCGTAATATCTTTGTTCTTCTGGTGGAATTGATGTTATATCATCCGTTATTCCTTTAATTTTTGAATTCATAAATAAAATTTCTTTTATATTTGATATCACTGCACCACCTTTGCAAACGAATTCGAAATGGTCATTTTTCAATACTATCTCCAAATCTCCATATTTCAACATTTGCGTTTGTTCTGCCGTCTTTGAATTATATGCATATATGGCGTATGTAATGGTCTGTGGTTGCTGTTGTTTAATCATTTATTACGATTTAAAAATAAATATTTAATCTGTTATCTCATCAGCTATTTTTTCTATTTGAAATTGCCATAATATTTCATTCATAAATTCTAAATCACAATCAAATAGGTCAGTTATTCTAAATTTAATATTTGATAAATCTTTTGAATGAAGAATAAATGAATTCCCAGATAATTGAAACGGATATGATAAAGAAAATATGTTTAAGTTGATGGATAAAATGTTTTGTATTGATGGGTAAGAGTTAGGGTCTAATGTTTGATGTGAAAATCTCATTGGGGTATTAACTTTATCACATTTGATTAAAATGAAATTAGAACCAGTGTCAGAATACAAAACATCCCCAACATCTTTTTCAAAATTTAATATCCCCAACAATGAACGAAGACGAGGAGTACAAAATTTAATTTTCAGCGGAAATTTAATAAGGTTATTTATTTCATCAAGTTCAAAAAGTTTATCAGGTTTTGATTTAAAATTTTCTTCATACCATACGATAAATGATTCATTTAAATAACTTAAAATCATGTTAATATCCCATTTCGTTATCACATTATTTATATACATATCATACGTTTTTAGGTCTACGACCCCGCCGCTATGCGGCTCATGGTCATCTTTAATAAATGATATATAATCTGAAGGGTCTAAAAGAATGGGATTAAATTTACCACTCACAGAAACGAGAGTAACATTATAAATTCCGCTAACTGTTAAATTTAATTCACAGTTATTATTCGAAATAATATTGATAATTGACATTTTTTTATTACGATTAAAAATATGGTAAAGCGTTATTTTCCAGTGATAAATAAAACTAGAATAAGATTACCTCAAGAATTCATAAATTCAACGAATAAGAAATTCATTCATGTTATAAATTTTAGTGTTTTCAGAAAATATGAGTCGATGTCATATTCATCATCAGGTTATATTTCACTTCATTCAAATTTAGTTCAATCAAACCCATATAATGACCATTTCATAAGATTTTCAGATGGTATTAAAAATGTAATTGATAGATTAAAATATGAACAGATTGACAATATCGAATTTTTGGAATTTTGGTTTAAATATCCCGATGGAAAAAAGATTGAAGTTAAAGATAAAGCTGATACTATAACAAAAACAATTACAATGACCGATCCGGATAGTGGGGAACAAAAAGAAATAAAACAAACGATAGAAACTGGTGAAAGGTCAATTATTATCGATTATGATTCAAAGGATTATTATTCGATAATGTTAATGCTTGAATATTAAATAGCCTTAACAAAGAATTTTTCAAGTGATATTTTATATTCATCAACTATTTTATTATAAATATCATTATATGTTAAATGAAGTTCAGTTGTTGTTCCGTTCTTTGATATCTTAATTGTGCTAATATCCTTTATAGGATTTATTTTTGCAACTGTTCCGCAGCATGAAACCTCATCATCTATGAAAAATTGAATCTTCACGTCTGAATCTTGAACATCACAAAGAATGGCGATAATGTGAATTAATGATTCATAAGGTAAAATAATTAAACCGGATTGGTCAATTAAATTTATTATTGAATCATAATTATCAGTTATGATATCACGGTAAATTTTCATTAATTCAGAATTAATGTCTATTTTATATGGGTTATCAAGTGGTGCTGGGTATGTTGGATAAGTGGGAATTTCAACAGGTTCTTTACCAGGTTCAGATAAAATGATTGGGTCTCCATCTTCTTTATTTTGCTCCTCCTCATTCTTCGGTAAGTCACGAGTTAATAAATTTGGTTGAGTTGCTGACCTTGTTAATTCAGGACTAACATTAACTTTAACATTTTGAATAATTCGTGATTTATCATCATTTACATTATAACCAACCGTAATCTCTGCTTTTGCGTTAGTGTTCTTTTGACTAGTGAAACGTCTTCTCATTTATATTCGAATAAAAAAATATATTTAAACTTTTATTTTGCTGGAACTTTTGAATCTATTATTTCCTGTATTTGTTCATGAAGTTGATTTTTAGCATTTTCATCGAAATTAATAGACCGAATATATTCATTAATTGCATTCTTATAATCATTTGATTTCTCAAATTTTCTTTTATCTGATTCCTTAACTAAATCATAAGTTAAACCTCGTTGCTG